TTTTTTTTTTTTTTTGGTACCAGGGATCGAACTCGGGACCTTCTGCTTGCGAGGCAGGCGGTGGAACCACTGAGCTAAATCCCCAGACCTCATCCTGAATTCTTAAGAGAAAGGACCAAGATCTGGGTAGGCTGCTCAGCTGGGATCTAACTTGCATAGAAAATAGACATATCACCTCCCTTATTTAGACCACTTGTGATGTGACCCAAGATAGAATTAGCTTTTACATGTTTGTACCTCTAACTCAGCCCAGCCTTCAGGCTGTTTAAAGTCCCTGGTTCTCTCCCTGGGGGCAATTTGCTCCCCTACCCCCTTAGATCCTCACCCCACCAGACAGGAAGTTCTCACCCAAGCGCTCAAAGGCATCAGCCATGGCCTGGTTCCGCACCATGTCGATGAGTCCTCGGCCCAGGCAGAAATGGGGAAAGATCAGGAAGACCCATTTCAAGATTCGGCTCACATGCTGCAGGTTCTGCTCAGGAGGCCAGAAGAAGCTATGGTTCAGAGACTGAGGTCCTCCAACCCAGCCCAAGCCCACCCACCTTGCAGAGCCCTACCTGGTCAGATAAAAGCTCAAGGACAAAGGTGGCCATGCTGCCATTAATGCCAATGAAGAGGTTAATACAGGTGAGTACCACATAGGCCGTGCTGGGCACCGAGAAGAAGAAGGAGGCCGGGTACATGAGTGGTGTGATTGACCAGCTGTGGGGGTAACAGGGGACACAGGTGACTATACTCAGGCTGGGCTTGAACTTGAGATCTTCCCGCCTCACCCTCCTAGAGTGGTGAGATTATAGGTGTCACTGTGCTTGGCTCATGATGAGCTTTTAAGGCCACATTAGCACACCACTGAGGCCAGTGTGCCTGTGATCACCTCCAGTCTCTCAGGAGCTGCTGTGAAGTCCTGTGTCCCTCCCCAGCAGTAGGTAGGGCCCTTACCCATATAGCAGCAGCAACAGTAGGAGTGCAGGAAGGTTCTCGGGGGCCACATAGGCCTTCTGCTGGAAGGCCAGGAAGATCAGGACCACAATGCATGCTGTCACCAAGTAGTTACACTGCAATAGAGACAGGAGGCAACCTTGGGTAAGAAAGGGTAGTGATTCCCACCCTTACCCCTGTGCCCCACCCCAACCTCTCTGCTGCTTTTTTTTTTTTTTTTTTTTTTTCAGAACTGAGGATAAAACCCAGGGCCTTCACACTGAGCTCCATCTCAAACCATTTTTATTTTTTATTTTGAGACAGGATCTCACTAAGTCACTACGTTGCCTGGGCTGGGCTCAAACTTGTGATCCTCCTGCCTCAGCCTCCCAAGGAGCTGGGATGACAGGTGCGTGCCACCACCCCCAGGTGCAACCTCCCTGGCTTTTTGGGGAAGGGGTTGTGAGACCTCTCACCACCCCCCAGACCTCACTCAAGCCATTCCCAGCAGTCCCCACCCGCACCATGTCCCAGAGGAAGTTGCCCAGCCAGTAGAGGGTCGGGGACAGGCCCCCAATGAGCTGCAGGTGTTTGGCACGAGAGACACGCTCCTCAATAAGAACCAGGATGAAGCTCGCTGGGACGAAGGACATGGCGAAGACCACACAGATGGAGATCAAGACATCCACTGAGGAGGCCATGCTGGGAACAAGGGCACCTGTTTACATGGCCAGCATGTGGCAGAGTTCAAATCCAGCCCCATCACCCAAAACAGCAGGGACACTGAGGCAGGGAAGGGTGCATGGGACCAAGACTCACAGTGCAGCCTCCGACAGCTGTTCCTTGGTCATGTTCAGGGGGTGGTTGAGCGTGATGATGCTGTGGGCATGCTGGGCAGGGCCCGCGGGCAGGTGGGCATGTAGGAGTGCATTGTTGGCGCGGTTGACAAAGGCCACCATGGCATGCCAGCCCTTGTTGTTGAACCAGATCTGAGAGCAGTCATGGTCACGGGGTCAGGCTCGCGGGGTGAGGGTAATGGAGGGGGGACACCCACCTGCACCCCAGTTCCCACCTTGAGGCTGTTCTGAGTATCCAGGCCCAGAGCCCACACAGTGAGGTTGTTCAGGATGCGGTCCAGGGCCCCACCGTGCTTGGGGCTCAGCAGCGCCCGCAGCTCCTCCACCAAGTGGCCCAGCTCTGGCCCCGAGGGCAGGCGCGGGTCACGGCCTCCCAGCGAGAAGCCCCCATACCTGGGCAGCAGTGGGGGTGGCACCTGAGGCCCGGGGAAAGGCAGGGGGCATGGGAAAGGAGCTAGGCCAGGGGACCCCGGGCCAGGTCCCACCTCACCTGATCTCATTCACCCACTTCTTGGTCTTCAGACTGTGAGAGGGACAGATGGACAAAGGGATGTGGAGAGACAGAGACACCTGAGAGTTAAGGGCAAGATGGGGGAGAGGCCCCCAGCGGACATCCAAGCCATCTGGCACCCAAGCTGCTTCCCTAAGCCAGGCGGTGCACGCCTGTCATCCTAGCACTCTAAGAGGCTGAGGCAGGAGGATCTTGAGTTCTAGCCCAGCCTGGGCAACTTAGTGACACAGCAAGACCCTGTCTCTAAGTAAAAAATAAAAAGGATTGGGATGTAGCTCAGTGTGAAGGCCCTGAGTGTGATCCCCAGTACTGAAAAACAAACCCAACCTGTGCCCCCAGTGGCCACTCACCCCTGGTGCACCAGCCTTGGGTAGGTCTTAACCAGGAAGTCGGATATGTTCCGGCCCGTCAGGTTCTGCACCACCTCCCTGGAGCTGCTCAGGGCCTGGGGTGGCGGGGGTCCCCCAGCTGCAGCCGGGCAGTCAGGCAGCAGGCGGCGGGCACCAAGTTGGCTGCACTGGCAGGCCGGGGACGGGGACTCTGGTGTCCAGTTACCACTGGCCAAGACCTTGGCCACATTCGTGGGAACCTCGGGGACTGAAAAGAGGCACGAGAAGCCCTGCAGACACTCAGGTGCCCTGTGGAATTGGAGGCAGGGTTGTCAGGGATCCTGAACACCCTAGGCCTGTGGGCCAGAGCCCAGAGGAGAAACTGAGGCAGGGAGGAGTGGGTGTACCTGGTGGAAGTGTTGTGTACTTCTGGCTGCTCCAGGCCAGCCTCCTCCAGCAGCGCCTCGAGCAGGCGGGCCCGCGCTGGGTCCCCTGGGGCGTCCTCACTGTGTGTGGAGGTGATGTGGGTTCCTGGCTGCACCCTAGACCCCCAGTCCAACCCACATCCCACACCCCCCAGCCGCCTTCTGTCCCTGGCGCCCACCTGAAGAAAGACACCTGGGGACCATACATGGCCGGTCTGAGTCGCAGCGCTGGGTAGTACCCGAAAGGAGGCACGATGAGACTGAAGACCAGAGCGAGGCCCACAAAGAGGGCAGGGAGTACGATCTGAGGGAATAGCTTGTCAGCTGCCACCTCCACCCCATCCCTCCCCGCTCCTGCTATAGAGCTCTCTATGCCTCCCCAGCGCCCTCAGTAAGTACACATGGGCCTAAGCTGTTGAATGAAGCCAGTGAATGGATAGCTGGGGTGAAGACAGCACCCAGGGAACCCTGACCCAAGACACCCCCCCCCCAACGCTGGCCGGGCTCCCTTACCTGTGCGAACAGGCTGCGGCGGCTGCGGCGAGCAAGCAGAAAGCGCTTAAGAAGCAGGGCCCGGAGCTGCTGGTGGGTCAGCGCCCAGCCCTGTACCCGGCCTGTGGTGTCTGGCCCAGAACCCTGCAGGGCCTGTGTCTCTGAGGCCAGCCCAGCTGTGGGGAATGGGAAGGTCAGAGGTCAGGCCGTGGGGGACACAGGAGTCACAGCAGGCAAGGGTGAGACTCACCTGGCTCTCCATTCCCCAGGGCTGACTCGTCGGGCAGTGTCAGGGGCCGCGCAGTAGCCATGGACACATGTGGCCAGTGGGCAGCATCTGTGGGGTCAACAGGAGTCACAGGCAGGGGTCAGTACTCAGCTGGGGGTCAAGGTCAAGGGTCACGGGCAAAAAATGTCAGGACCAGGGCCATGCATTGGGGGATTGGGGATGGACTCAACCAGGGATGGAGACTCGGCCCAAGGTCACATCTGGGTCTGGACCAGGGTCAGGGTTCAAGGGTCGGGAAGCTGCAGTGGCTCCCACTGGTTCTGTGTCTATGGCGCTGTCTTCTACCACCTTCAGGAAAATCTAGGGAAACAAACAGGGCGCTGAGAACCTGGGGGCCACTGGAAGGAACCCCTCATCCACTTCAGCCCCCCAGCCCTCCTCCTGAGCCCCACCTGTAATGGCTCTGCTGTCCATAAGCAAACTCCTATTCACCCTTCAAAGACCCAGATCTCCTCTGGGTCTCCCTCACTAGCCACACTGGACACCCCCATGAGCCTCTCCCAAAGTCCCCTTGCACCTCCTCCAGGCTGGTGTCCGAGATCCCATAGCCGGCAAGCCGCAGCGCCCCTAGCTGCCCATCCAGCTCCTCGAAGAGCTTGGCAAAGCTGCCATCCTGAGCACCTCCGGAGGGCATCGCCAGCACCAGCTCGTGGGGCAGCTCCTCCACCAGCTGTGCCCCCGGCACCCAGCGCTGCACCAGGCTCAGGAGTTGGGGTGCATCTGGGTAGACCGGGGCCTGTGAGAGCCCCATCCCTGGCCCTGCGGGCAGAGGTCAGGGCAGCTCTATGTTCTGGTTCACACAGGGTTTGTTTTTGTTTTTGTGGTAACAGGGATGGAACCCAGGGCCTCTGCCCTGAGCTCCATTCTCAGATTTTTATTTTTTATTTTTTATTTTGACAGAGACTCTCACTGAGTCACTATGTTGCCCAGGCTGGGCTCAAATTTGAGATCCTCCTGCCTCAGCCTCCCAGAGTTCTGGGATGACAAGATGGGTTAAAGGTCAGGACCAGAGTTGGACAGAGTCACTGTTTAGATGTATCCCAAGGCTGGGGGTCAGAGGTCCACTTTGGGGTCCCCCTAATATTTGTTTGGCTTTTTGAGATAGGGTCTCAATATGTAGCCCAGGCTAGCCTTAAGCTCATGACGATCCTCTTACCTCCGCCTCCCTAGTGCTGGGATCACAGGCATGCACTAGCACCCTTGGCACTAAATTAAGCCACACAGCTCACCACCCCTCCTTTGGGTCACCTAGGGCAGCTCTCACCTGCTGTGCTGTCCTGGTTGCCTGGCCCCTGTTCTTGTCCAGTGTCTAGCCTGTCCTTGCGGTCACTGTCACCCTGCAGGCAGGGGCAGTGGTTGGTGTGGCAACTGGGCTGGAAGGACCCGTGGGGGTCAGGGTTCCAGGGTCCTCACCTTCTCTCTGGTGGTGAGGGGCGGAGTCTTCACCAGTGTCAGGTAGTAGCCAGAGCCCAAGTGACGACGCAGAAACAGTGGTGACCCACAGCAGCACAGGCGGCCACCTGCCACCACGGCCACCCGGTCTCCCAGGAGCTCAGCCTCATCCAAGTGGTGGGTGGAGAGGATCAGTGTGCGGCCTGAGCATGGGGACCCAACTCACATGAAGCATCTCAGGCTACCAGGGATTCCCCACTATGGAATTGCCTACTCCGGGTGGCTAACTCCTACTCATCCCTCAAAACCCCATGCTAGCACTGCCTTGCCAGAAGCCCTTTCAGGATGCCCAGAAGCAGAATCCTGGGGGACCCTCAGGCTGCCCAGGCTCTCACCTTCTCGGTATTTGAGCAGCAACTCCCAAATACTGCGACGGGAAGCAGGGTCCACACCAGCAGTGGGTTCATCCAGGATCACCACACGGGAGCCGCCCACAAAGGCAACGGCTACTGAGAGTTTCCGCTGCATCCCACCTTAGGGGTACAGGGAATCTCAGCCACCCCTGCTACTGGGACCTCAGTGCCGGATCTGTCCTCGCTCCCCCACCCTCTGGGCGAGCTCACCGGAGAGGTGGCGCGTCTGTGTACTCCGCTTGGAGACGAGCCCCACGTCCTGTAGTAGCCGGTCCTGCTCGGGGCCCACAGCGGCAGTGCTCAGACCCTTCAGCTGGCCGTAAAACCAAACGTGTTCATCCACCGTCAGCCTGCGCCCAGGGAAAGAAGCGTGGCCATCACGGTGGGCGGGGCCGCAGGGACACGCCCCCCCAGCCACCAGTACGCACATGTCAAACAGGACGTTGTACTGCGGGCACACACCCAGGTGAGGCCGCACGGCCGCCATGCTGGACTGGACATCGTGACCCAGGATGAAGGCCGAGCCACCGCTGGGCGGGAAAAGGCCACTCAGGATGGACCTGGGGGTGCAGGGGTCTCAGAACAGCACCTCTTACTACATGCTCACGCTAAAGGTGTGTTTTGTTTTGTTTGTTTGAGGCAAGGTCTTGCTATGGAGCCTAGGCTAGCCACAAACGTGGCCATCCTTCTGCCTCAGCCTCCAGAACGCTGGAATTACAGGTGTGTGGTACCACATCTGGCCTCCAAAGGGGTATTATGTGCACATTTTCCGGGAGGTATCTGAGGCTGAGAAAATACTTTATCCCTTCTATTGTATGCCCAAAGTGAAATGAGGCTGCCACCCCCACAGTACGTGCACCCCAGGACCCAGGGCCTTCACACTGAGCTCCATCCCCAGTCCTTTTTAAAATTTTGAGACAGGGTCTTGCCAACTTGCTCAGTTACCCAGGCTGGGCTTGAATTTGGGATCCTCCTGTCTCAGCCTCCCAGAGTGCTAGGATGACAGGTGTGGGCCACAAGCCCAGGTTATACCCCAGAACCTTCTGGCCCCAGATGTGTTCCCCACTGGACAGATGAGGAAACTGAGTTCAGGGGAGGGAGCAGCATGGCTGGCAGCTCACAGTGTGGTGGTCTTGCCCGCGCCATTGTGGCCCAGGAAGGCAGTGATGTGGCCTTGGTAGAAATCCAGGCTGAGCCCTCGCAGGGCTAGCTGTGGGCAACCCGGGAACCGCTTCTCCAAGCCCCGGATGGAGACTCCAGGACATAGGCCAGGCGGTGCCCCTTCCACCAGCACTGCAGAAAGAGGCAGAGTCAGCAGGGTGGTCCCAGGGTCCCTTTAGAGCTGGAATTGGGTCAGGCTGGAGTCTGTTAAGAGTTAGGGGACAGCCAGACATGGTGACATGCACCTGCAACCCAGTGCTCTGGGAGGCTGAGGCAGGAGGATCTCAAGTTTGAGCTCAGCTAAATTTCAGGGAAATTTAGCAATTTATCAAGACTCTGTCTCAAACACAAAATACAGAAAAGAGTTGGAGGGGTGTAGCTTAGTGTCAAGGACTGGATTCAACCCCCAGTACTACAATTTGAAAATAGTTAGGGGAGCCCCAGGGGGCTGCTGCCTGAGCTGGGGTATGCAATTGGGACTAGAATATGCGGAACCTGGTTTATTTGGAGGTGAGGGGCACTGGGGAGTCCAAACAGGAAAGGAGCGGGTTAGGTTTGTGGGGTCTCACCCTTTGGGTCCTGCAGGGTAGGGGCTGGAGCAGGACCCTTGGGAGGTTCAGGTCCACACCAGTAGCTCTTTCGAAAGGGGAAATTCCATGGTTCAGGGATCCCGTACTGGCCTGGGGAGAAGCAGTGCCCAATTATACTTGCCCTCCACCTAAGTCCAGCCACACTCCGAGAAGCTGGGCATCCAGGTGGGCAGGGCTTGGCTCCCAGCTTCCCTAGAGTCGCCCCCTAGAGTCAGCCACCTGTGCGTACAGGCCAGGAAGCTCTGCCTTCGAATCTGGGGCCTGAGCCTTCAGGTACAAGGAGGCCTGCTGGCCACCTCCTTTTTTGTTTTTGTTTTTTTTTCCCAGTCTGGGCTCAAAATTGTGATCCTCCTGTCTCAGCCTCCCAGAATGCTAAGGATGACAGGGGTGAGCCACTATCCCTGTCCTGAGTCTCCCGTGCAGTCTTGTGGAACTCTTGTGGGAACCTAACCTGGGGGCCCAAAGGCCAGAAGTCCCCTGGTGCTCATTCGTGTTCCCGCCCAGGGCCCTACCCACTAGGCCCACCTGGAAACACGGCCTCCAGGTACCAGATGGTTAGAGCATAAAGCGCAGCGTCCAGCAGCAGGAGGCCCAAGACCTGCGCTAGGCTGAAGACGTCTGCTGCGGGTGCCCGGCCCAGGTTGTGCCATTGCGCGCCCTCGCCCTGCTCCTCCAGCAGCGCCAGGCTCTCGCACCCGAAGCCGAAGGCCACGGGGGACAGCAGACTCTGCAGGTGGTGGCGGGTGGGTCAGCAGGCAGGCCTGGCCAGGGGTGCCCCTTCGCCCCCGCCCAGCCCCGGCCCGGCCCTCACCGCAGCCACGCGGCCCCCCACAGGGAGCCGGTCCCGCCAGGCCACGCACAGCACGTAGGGCAGGTAGAGCGTGAAGTAGGCCAAGCCTCCGCAGGCAGCCGCCAGGTTGGCACGGGAGAAGAAGGCGCTTAGCAGGAAACTCTGGACCACAGTGGCCACTGCGAAGGTCGCCAGGAAGAGGAGCACCACAGCAGGGTGGCTGTAGGGGAGGATGTCCCCCAGCTGTGGGGGGCAAAGGGAGCTCAGGGCTCCATCCAGGCGCGGGATTTGGGGCTTACGCAGATCCCAGGCTCAGAGCCTCTAACTCCCACTCGGAGGACGGGGTGCGCACCTTGAGCACCAGCACTAACAGCGCAGCGCTGAGGACAAAGGGTGCGAGGCAGCTGAGGAACCAGCCGAGCCAGAGCACTGCGCGGCCCAGCCCCATGGAGCGCATCGTGTCACGCAGCCGGGTCTCTTTCTCACGCACCACGGCCTTCACGGTCAATGCCACCGAGTAGATCCAGGCCAGCGTCAGGAAGAGTGGCAGCGAGCGGCTCAGCACGCGCAGGAAGCTGGAGGGGACACAGGGATGAAGTTGGGAACAATGCGCCCCCCGCCCCAATGTGGGCGACCACTTGCCCTGGAACTCCGAGCCTGATGCAGTCTCTGAGGTCCAGGTCTCAGTACAAAGCCATGTTTCCTCTGTGTCCCAAGATCCTTGAAGACCCCTGCCCCCTCCCCCTGCTGGGGGTCACACGCATGCTTGCAGCCTTGGCTGTCCCCTAAGCCTCGGGACAGGGGGCTGGGGGCTGAGTGGGGAGGGTAGCGCTCACACGTCGTCCACATAGCACGGGTAAGGCATCTGCTGCAGGTAAAGGCCCGTGCGGAGGTTGGCGCCGCTGAGCACCCGCACAGCCGCCTGCTCCACCAAGTCCTGCAGGTACACGAAGCCGCCCCACACGTACCGCAGGTCCGACAGAGGGTCTGCGGCAGGGCCCGGGTCCCAAAACCTGTGAGGGGGGCGTGGTGGTCAGTGGTAGAGAACTGGAAAGTCCTGCCTACAATAGTCTTAGCCCTGTGTTTACTCTGCCAACGTAATATTGCACTTGGCCGGGGCATACAACCCTCTACCTACTCCTACTCTCCTTTTATACTTCAGGATGCCAGGCCAAGCCCTTCAATACTCCAATTGGCCTAAGGCACTCGGGGCTCCGCCTACCATACATATATGGATAACACCCAGGTTCCGCCCATCACGGTACCCAATAGGCTGAATGAACACCCTCGCCCCGGTCCACACTGCCCTCCACTTATACCCCCTGATAGGAGGGCCTTGGCCAACCCCTCAAGTGCATAGGCCACGCCTATCATGACCCCAATTGGTCTAAGGTTCCCTAGGCTCCGCCTAGCATGCCTTTTATAGGTTCTACCTAGACTCCGCCCATCAATCTCCAATACGCTGAATTGCCTGGCCCCACCTACCACGCTGTTGACCCAACCCCACCCCCCACACTCACTTGTCCATGATCCTATTGGTCCTGGTGACGTCATCGATGTCCATGCGAATCTTGACTCGCAAGTGTCCAGGACTCAGTCCCGGCACCGACACCTCTGCAGGGTCTGGGGCGTCCTCTAGCCCCAGAAAGATGATGCCGGCCCAGAGGCGGCGCTCAGCCAGCAGCTGAAGGGCCCGAGACACCAGGGCAGCCTCTGAGGGTGCAGCCTCCAGCTTGTTCAGAGACACACACTGCAGGGGACACAAACCTGTCCTCTCAGGCCCTCCAAGGGACAAGGCTACCTTCCTCTGGGTCCCCAGAGCAGCGCTAGCTTCCACCCTCAGATCACTAGGTTGGAGCCTGCCTTCCTTCCAACCTCCAGGGCCTCACCTCCACCATGTCACCCAGCATGCGCACCACTCTGTCCACATCAGCATGTGCCTCCCGCCAGCTGTAGCCACCCCTGCTGGGGTCCAGGAAAGACTGGAGGGCCTCTTTCCCGGCCAGCCCTCCAGGTCCCAGCTGGCTCCGTCTTTTCTCTTGCACACTCAGGAGACTCTAGGGGAGGTGTCAGGTGAGGTGGGTCTGTGGCTCCCACAGGGAGCCCGTAAGCCCCGTCCTTTTCACTGTGGGTCCCACTTCCTACCTGGAGTGAGGCCTCTCCCTGCTCTGCCTCCACCCCAGCCCTACCTGCAGCATGGCCACATTTGCACTGTTGTTCAAAAAACCAAAGAGCTGAGGTCCCAGCGTGCCCCAGACCTCCTGGATGTCCCTTAGCAGGGCCAGCTCTTCAAAGGTCCGGTTCACCTGCAGGAAAGGGTCCAGAAGATCTGTCCAGGCCCTGCTCAGTCACCACCGCCCTGTTTGCTGAGGGCCCCTAAGCACTTCCCTTGGGTCCTCCACCTTTTTTGTTTTGTTTTGTTTTGGCAGTACTGAGCTACATTCTCGGCCTTTTTATATTCTTTATTTTTTAGAGACAGGGTCTCACTAAATTGCCTTGTTGCCCAGGCTGGGTTCAAACTTGCAATCCTCTTGGCTCAGCCTCTCCGAGTGCTGGGATGACTGGTGTGTGGCACTAGGCTAAACTCCTACCTCTCCCGAACACAGTATCCGAGACCCTCTGCCTCCCCTTTTCCCCCAGCATCAGGCCACCCTCACCTGCGCCATGATCTGCCGGGTGAACTTCGTGTCAGGTGCAAAGAGCAGCTTCCCAAGAACCAGCGGCTTCAGGCGTCTCCAGAGCAGGCGGGACAGTGGGTGGTCACTCAGTGTCCCCATCAGCTCTAAGCAGGCAGAGCCTGAGGTGTGGATGCCATGAGGAACTGCTCCATACCCACCACCCCACTTCCCAGCTGGGGAAACTGAGGCCCATCACTCACTCAGGCCGTGGTCTGGCAGGTCTGGTGCCTGCTCCATCCCAACCAGCTCCTTCAAATCTCCGTTCTCGTACCAGTTGAGGGAGAGGCCCCCGGGGCTGCTGGGCCCCTTGGCACTGCACAGGGCTTCGGACACCAGCTCCAGGGAGCTGCTTGTCCCCCGGGCCCTCTGCAGCAGAGCCCGAAGCTCCACCAGGCTAGGCAGTCCCAGCAGCTAAGGAGAGGTCACCAGAGGGCGCTGGAGATCTTCCTGCCACTGGAGCCACCACCAAGCCCTGACCAGGGGCAGGCATCCCACTGGAAGCCCCTTCTCCTAATCCTGACTTTCACTCCAACTACACAGAAAAATCGACCTAAGGGATGGCCTGTCCTTATTGATTCCTGGCTGAGCTTGATGCTGAGTAGAACCTCTTTTCTTTTCTGTATTGGGGATGGAACCCAGGGCTTTGGTAATGAGCTATATCCCTAAATCTTTTTATTTTTTTTATTTTGAGACAGGGTCTCCCTAGGTTGCCCTGGCTGGGCTGAACTTGAGATCCTCCTGCCTCAGCCTCTCAGAATGCTGGCGTGACAGGCAAGTGCCACCACACCCAGCTTGGCTAGCAATTCTCACCTCCTGGGCCAGGTCCTCTGCGGCCTCCACAAAGCTGCCCATGGACTCCTGCGCTTGGCTCAGGATGGACCTCAGGGATTCCTGGAGAGAAGGTGCCAAGAGTGACAAGGACCTAGTCACCTAAGAACAGCACTCCACTAAGTTTCCACCATGCTATCTTTGTGTCCATTTTACAAATGTGGAAACCGAGGCTCTGAGAGGTGCAAGGACTTGCTCAAGGTCCTTTGTCACCATGGCAGACATTTCTTGCTTAGGCATGGGATGAAGAATGTCCCTTCCTGGACCCTGGCATCAGAGGTTCCCAACAGCAGCTGGTCCTTCAGCCCTGCTCACCCCTTGCAGAAGTGTCCCCAGGAGCTCAGTAGGCAGTGAAGGTTGCTCTTGCTGGTCATTGTGCTGAGGCTGGGCTGGGGGCAGAACACATAGAACAGGGCTATGCAAACCTTGGCCAGAGATGCCCCTATCCACTGTCCCATCGTGCAGCGGGGTGGGGGGAGGAGACCTCAGCTGCCTCACCTGTGCTGTGGGCAGCTCTGAGCATGGGGATCAGTGTACCCAGGCCAGCCAGCGTCCTGCGGGCACTGGGGCCCCCCAGTACAGCGCGGGCATCCGCTAGGAGCCTGGACACCCTGGGGACAGAGACAAGGCAGGAGGCTCAGCCGCACCACCCCCCAGCCCTGAGCCCCCCAGCTGGCCACACCACTGCCTCTTGCTTACAGGGACTCATTGAAGTTGCTCAGAAACCCCGGCTCCTCTCCTGGTGTGGGCTTCGGGAAGCAGGAGTTGTTTATGTTGCAGATGAGACCCTGGAGCCAGGGGATGGTGCCCGCGGATGGCAGTGGCTTGTTGGGGAAGTGGCCTGCGGACAGATGCCAGTTCTGCCTGAAGCCCCACCTCTGCAGGCTCCCCCCTCCATTGCTCTATGCCCTCAGCTATGGCGAGCTCACTCCCGGGGAGTGTCCTGGCTGCCGCTCCTGCAGTCTCCTTCGACGAGGACCCCATGGGCCATTCCCCATACACCAAGTCCCGGTCCTTGGAGCTTACATTCATGTTGCTCCAGAGGGGGATGCGAGTGACGGACGGCCACGAGGATGAAGAACAAGAAGAGAGGCCATAATAACTCGACCAGGAGCTGGACCTGGGGGGCAGGATTGGCAGGAGATCGAGGGAATTGTGGAGATCATGCCTGTGCCCCAGGCCCACATCCCTGGGCATTACCGGCTGTCTCCTGCGATATGTGAAATTCTTCCAAAGCAGCAGCATCAGCTGTGTTCGGAAAGCCATGGTGACACTGGACAGGGGACAGGACGGAGGGGTCAGTACAAAGGTCGTGCTGTGTGGTTGCGGACAATGCCCTGTCCCTCTCTAAACTCATCCCTCTCACTATCCCACCGCGTAGGGTTCTGGGAAGCTCTATTAGAGCCAGGGTTATAGCAGTTAATAAAGGATTCTCCTCCTCCCCGGTGGAGTAAACCAATGGGAGCCCTGCCCGAAGCTGTCTTCACAGCTGATTGGTTGCCAGGGCTGTCGCTCTCACAAGGGATCCTAAAAACTATCCCCGAATCTCCCGGAGGCGGAGCTTTCGGCTTAACGCTTCCGTCACCAGGTTCCACCCCATGCCCCACCCAAGGACCCGGTCCAGGTCTGGCGCTTCTCACTCCAGACCCAGGGGAGGGTTCCTCTTGCCCGGCCTGTCCAACAACGATAACAGCAACGAATATTTCCTGTGCTGAGCATGTCAGGTGCCCGACTGACAGTGCAACTAGACTATCACTCCAGTTACAGAATTGGAAACTGACGCTCAAGAAGGGACAAATCGGCCAGACCTGATGGTGCAGGCCTGTGATCCCAGCACACTGGGAGGCTCAGGCAGGAGGATCGCAAATTAGAGCCCAGCTTGGGTAATTTAGCAACTTAGAGACCTTATCTCAAAAATAAATAAATTTTTAAAAAATAAAAAGTACTGTAAAAAGGGCTGGGGATGTAGCTCAGTGTGAAAGCCCTGGGTTCAATCCCCAGTACCAGAAAAGGTGGGGGCAAGTCCAGGTTCCAAGAGAGCTATTACATCCCAGCTCTGTCCATCCCCTCGTGCATTATTGATCCTCAGAAAAACCACAAGATTCAGGAAATGGGTCAGGAGAAGGAGCCGAGCTAGACTTCTAGTCCTGTCATTTCCTTTAAACCATATGGCTGGGGTCTACTTTATTGTGCAGATGGCAAAACTGAACCCAGGGGCACTAAGTCACCAAAGGCCAACCATGCACTTGAGAATTCGAACCTGGGCCCCCGACCTCCACACCAGGGCTCCTTAGACAGTGGGATGTAGGACCTGGGGTCAATGGGGACTTTGCAGGTGCAGGCGGGCACAGGCCCGTCGAGTAACCCAGAGACCCACCCCCTTCCCTTGATACTCGCAGGAAGGAAAGAAAGGGTGAGAGTTGGGGCGCGGCCAGCACTCCCTACTTTCCAGGCAGCTGGCCTCTGGGCACCTCCAAACTCCACCCTTGCATCCTCGAGTCTCCCTCCTTCGTCTTTGGGTCTCTCTCACCATTCGGCCCCCCAGCTCCAGCCGCCTTCCCTCCGCGGGACAGCAGCCGGGGAGTGCGGCCCTTTTAAAAGGAGACCCCGGCGGGCGCGGCGCCCCGGCAGCCTACTGAGCTTCACAAGCGGGCGCCGGCGGCAACGTCCCGCCCTCAGCCGCTACTATTGGTCACAGTGCCTGCCACTCACAGAGCTGCCCATCCGGAGCCTCGAGCGCCTGAGAAGGCGGAATTACCGCTAGTCACCTTGAGCCGAGTTTCTTAAAGGGGACAGCACGCATGTTACGGCATCCTGTCAGGGTGGCAGCATGCCTATCTCGCCCCTCGCAGCCAGGCCTCCGGACACTGCTCTTCGCATTGCATAGCTGTCGCCAATACTGCAGCCCCGCCCCCGTAGGAGACCCCTGTCCCCGGGGAACCTGGATCCTAGCCAGACTCAGGGATACCCTGAACATCCTTGGTCAGGGATTTGCCCTCCATAATAGGGAGGTTCTGTCGGGGGATTTAGCTCAGTGGTTCCGCCGCCTGCCGCCTCGAAAGCGCAAGGTCCCGTTCAATCCGCGGTACCAAAACAAAACTAAACAAAAAACATAATAGGGGGGGTTCATGGTGGTACACGCCTGGAACACTAGCACTCTAGGAGGCTGAGGCAGGTGCAGAGCAAGTTAAAGCCCAACCTGGCTAACTTAGCAAAATACAAAATTAAATACAAAATTTTTTAAAAGGACTAAAAATAAATAAATAAAAAAGGACTGAGGATGTAGCTCAAAGGGAAGGCCCTGAATTCAATCCTTACTACTGCAAAATTCAAAGGGAGAGGTGGCACAGGCCTGTGATACCAGCACTCAGGAGGCTGAGGCAGGCGGATTGTGACTAGATCAAGGTCTGCCTGGGCTACACAGTCAATTCAAAGCCAGCTTGAACTAGAGACTGTCTCAAAAAAACAAAAAACAAAGTGGTGGGGGGTTTGTGGATGATTATTTCCGACCCAAGTCTTCATTCATTCATTCAACAAACATTCCTGCGGGCTTATTTTGGGCTGCATGATGGCAGAAGGTAGGAAGGAGCCCCCAACATTCTAAGATTAGAGTCTTGTGTGGTAATGATTACAGTTTGTGGAAAACCAGATGGTTCCTGGTCTGAAAAACAGGCATACTTCACAAGATCATGGTGAGGAAGAGACAGTTGTATGTAGACACAGCTTTGAGAATGCCAGAAAGGGGCAGGTGCTCCATTGAGGAAAGTGGCTTTGTTTTTGAGGCTTTGAAGATGTATCAGGGAGACAGGCTCAGTCAGAGGCCAGGAGGCTGAAAGCGGGCATGTAGCACAGTGCCAGAGTTATTAGGGCAGGGAGAGATCCAGGTCCAGCTTCCTGGGCTTTCTTCCTTCCTAACTCTTCCCTTACCCAAGTTCTGGGCTTGAACCCAGACTCACCTTATGGGCTCAGGGGTCAGTTTCCCCTTTCCCCCCCAAGGCTGCTTCTTCTCCCAGAGCCTCTCCTCCAAAGAATCAAAGCAAAGCCACCCTCCACACCAGGGTCACCTGAAGGGACTCCCAAAGTTCAGGTATTCTTTCTTAAAAATGGAGGCTTTTTTATTGCTTTTGGTCCACATTCATATTTCACATTATCTCATGGTCCAGGGCCCCTTGAGTGGGGGTCCGTGTCCAGTACTTGTTGGGGCAGCGAGTGCAGGGATCAGAGGGGTAAGCACAGCTGGTCAGGCCCAGAGTGGGAAAGAGGGGCTTTGAATCCCAGCGGGGGCCAAGGTGGGGCAGGCTAGGGATGCAGGCTGGCTTTGCCTCAGCCGCTCTGCACTTCATTGTCCTCCTCTCCCTCGGCCTCGCCTGCCGCAACCTGAGAAGGCTCAGGGTGGCTCACCCGGGGCTCCTCAGGACACCTACATTTTAGGGCTGTGGCCCGTCCCTTTCCCAGGGGACCCACGTCCTATCATCTCCTCCTCCACCACCCCTAACCCAAACCCCCTGCAAAAAAGAAAAGAAAAGAAAATTTACAGTTGTCTTTCGTTCAAACAGCCTGAAACCTTTGCGGGTACAGAAACCACAAGCTGATGGGGGGAGGAAACAGGAAACCACCTGGGGGCAGTTTCCTCTTCCTGGTCCTGCCTCTCCCCCACACAGCTCTGCCCAAAGCCTGCTGGGAAATCTGGGGCCTGGGACTCCCCACCCCACAGCACCCCAACATGGCCAACTCCTTCCCCACACAGTGGCTCAGTCCTGAAAAGGTACAGAAACAGGATGGGCAGGGCCAGGGTATAGTGATGCACACCTGTCATCCTAGCACTCGGGAGGCTGAGGCAGGAGGATCGCTGTGAGTTCGAGGCCAGCCTGGGCTACACAGTGAGTTCAAGGCCAGTCTGAATAACATAGCCAAGTCCTTGTCTCAAAAAAAAAAAAGGCCCGGGGATTTAGCTCAGTGGCATCGATTTGAGCTTGCCTTGCAAGCGCAAGCTCCTGAGTTTCATCCCCAGTACCAAAAAAAAAAAAAAGAAACAGGATAGGGGAGCTGGGCGTGGTAGTACACACCAATAGCCCAGCACTCAGGAGGCTGAGGCAGGAGGATCATTGCAAATTCGAGGCCAGCCTGGGCTACATAATGAGTTTGTTCTAGCCTAAGATACATAGCAAGACCATGTCTCAAAAAACAAAAAAAGGAGAAAAAAAAGCCCCCAGCCACCCCATCCCACCCAACCCCACAGCACTGAATATGTTAAAAAAAAAAAAAAAAGAAAAGAAAAAAACCACAGAAAAAACAAAAACCCGGATGGAGGGACCATGGAAGGGTCAGTGGGGTGCCTCAGCAGCCAGCTTCCTCCTGATAGTAGGGCGGGTACTCCGAGGCATCCTCTGGGAGGTTGCTGGTTCCAGAGGGTACCCCATCTGCCACTGTGCCCTGAGGGCAATACTTGGGATCATAGATCTGGCGGCCAAGGCCGAACACCTGGCCACTCTGGTTGGCGCCCTGTGTGTACCCCATCTGCAGGGACATGGAGGAGTTGTCACACTTGTCGGTCCCCAACTTGGTGTCATAGATGTGGCGTCGGGTCCCTGGAGCCTTCATGCCCACCTGGAGAAAGAAGCGAGGGGGTCAGTGTGGGGCAGGAAGGGAAAAGAGTCCCCCAGTTCCTGGGTGGTTTCCTCTGCTGCTTTGACATCAGGTACAAAATCCCTAGGGGGCCATACACCATGGCACACACCTGTCACCCCAGCACTCTGGGATCCTCGGGGCTTGAACTGGGGATCCTCCTGCCTCAGCCTCTCAGAGTGCTGGGATGAGAACCGTGCACCCCCACAACCGGCTTCCCAGGATCTTAAAAATTGAGAAGAATCTCGAGCAACCTTTTGGGGGAAACTGAGGCACGGAGTGGGGTGGACATTTCCCCAGTGAGAGAAACAGAGCTGCGGCTGGACTCTGAAGCCTGCAGTGCCCACCTGGCTGGCGCACTTGTTCGTGCCCATCTGCAGACTGATGGTGGAGTGGTCCATGGGGGGCAGGATGTGGTTCTTGGGGTCGTAGAGGTGCCGCCGGGTGCCATAGGCCGTCATGCCCGACTGGCTGGCGCACTTGTTCGTGCCCATCTGCGGGAGGTACGGGAGGGGTCAGGCTGGCCACCAGGCAGACTCCCCGGGAGGACACCAGGGCCCGCGTCACAGCAGGGTCACCTGCAGCCCGATGACACACTGCCCGGCCTTCATGGTGGCATCGTCAAAGTTCCGCTGCTGCTTCTCTGAGTACTTCACCCCGATGTCCACACCGCTCTGCAGCCCCTTCGTCTTGGCCTGGGGAAAAGAAGGTAGAGGAGAATGGAGGCTGGCTAGCACATCTCGATTCAGCCTGAGCTACACAGAGAAACTGTGTCTCAAAAAAATGAAAGAAAAAAAAAAGAGAGAGAGAGAGCGACTGTGTACATTGACCCCCACCATGCTGTGCAACTCCAGGCAGGCTGCCCTCCCTCTCTGAAGCTCACCTTCCCCGCCAGCGCAAGCAGAGACACCTGGACCTGCGTCATGTTCCCGCTCTCAAACAGGTCATTGGCCTCGAATAGGTCCACGGGGTTCATGCCATAGCTGACCATGGCCTTGATGAAGTTGGAGAGGTTTTCTAGCTGGGAGGAGGAGGGGAAGGGGATGAGTGGACCTCAAGTCTCACCCCGTCCCTGGGCCCAGGCCTGTCCTTCCTGCTCCCTGGCGGTGCCTCACCTGGTGCCAGTTTTGCATGGAGCGGTTGATCTTGGGTACAGAGCCCGGCTGCAGCTTGTTCATGAGTCTGGGGGGACAGGAGCAGGGTCCGCGTCAGAGCTGGAGCCTCAGAGGCCGGGTTGAGACCTCCCCAAGCTCAGGTCTTCTGGGCAGCCTCGCTGCCTCTCTTGATGTGACTGACTTCCTCTCTCTGTCTTTTCTTGTACAGTGTGACCCAGGACCATCACACTGAGCTTGATTCCCAGCTCCACCCCCCTTGAAACAGTCTTGCTAGGTTGTTCAGTTGCCCAGGCTGGGCACAAACTTGCAATCCTCCTGCCCTCAGCCTGCCAGAGTGCTGGGGTGACAGGTGTGTGCCACCGCACCTGGCTCTGTTATTTTTTTTTTTTTGGTACCGGGGATCGAACTCAGGATCTTGTGCTTGCAAGGCAGGCGGCGGAACCACCGAGCTAAATCCCTGGCCTTTGTTACCATTTGTAATGTGCAAACTGTGGAAGTCTGAATGATGTCCCATGAAATGGGCACTGTAAGGTTCGGATGTTCACCACTGGAGATACCAGATGGGGCAATAAGACAAACAAAAGCCCAGTGCAGTGGTCTGCCATCCCAGATACTCAGGAGGCTGAGGCAGGAGAATCTCAAGTTTGAGTCCTCCCTGGGCAACTTAGCAAGACCCTATCTCAAAATAAAATAGAAAGGTCTGGGGCTGGGGTGCAGCTGAGCAATAAGCGCCTGCCTAGCATGTGCCAGGACCCTGGTTTCCATCCCTACCTCTGAAGAAAAGAAAACAAAGATGAGAGGAACAAAGGCACCCAACCCACACTTAGTGGAAGTCAGCCCCCGGTCCACTCACGTGCACAGGATAACCCCATCCTTCAGGCCCTTCTGGAAGTCAGGGCCGATGGCGAGGCCTGTGAGGCCCTCGATCCAGCTGCGGAGCTCGGCCTCCTTCTGCGGGTTGTACTTGGACAGGAGCTGGAGGAGTGGAAGGAGCAGAGGGCGAGGGCTGAATGGTGTGGCCAGGGACTCCAGGGAAGGAGGAGACAAAAGGGCCCAGAGGCCGCGGCCCTCCCAAGCACTCAGGCTCACAGCTCACACTGGCTCTGAAAAACCTCTCCCTGGAGCAGGGCGTGGTGGGGCATGTCTGTCACCCAGCACTCTGGGAGGCTGAGGCAGGAGGATTGCAAGGTCAAGTCCAGCCTGGACAATTTAATGACTCAGAGAGACCCCATCTCAAAATAAAAAATAAAAAGGGGCTGGGATGTAGCTCAACGGAAGGCCCTGAGTTCATCCCCAGGGCACAATTCAGTGGCAGTCAGTACATTCAAAATCATGTGCAGCCACCGGCTCTAATTCCAGACATCCCATCACCCCAAAACAACCCCTTCCCCATGAGCAGCACCAGTCCCCTCCCCAGCCCCGCACCCCCAAGTCCACTTCCTGTGTCTAGAGTCGCCTGTCCTGGGTGTTTCCTGTCCATGGAGCCCACACTGTGTCCTCTGTGTCTGGCGTCGATCTCTGAGCGCGGCGTCCTCAAGGTCCCTCCACGCTGTAGCGAGCGTCACAGCCTCATTCCTTTTCTTTTTTCTTTTTATTTTACTTTTTGGTTTTTTGAGACAGGGTCTCACCAAGTTGCCCAGGCTGGCCTCAAACTCACAGTGATTCTCCTGCCTCAGCCTCCAGAGTGCTGGGGTGACAGGTATTATAGGAGTGTCTAGATGTCCCCCCAAAGCCTCACGCAGTCATAGGTGGGGCTTTTTCAGAAGTGGCTGGATCTAGAGTGTGTGATGCTGGGGTCAAGGGTGTGTGTTGACTAAATTAGTCCACAGACGGGTTTGGCATAGTTCTGGGTAGGATTAAGGGTGCCCCACCCTGGGTGTGAGTGCTACCTGAGTGTAGCCTGGATAAGATATAATGGACAAAAAGGGTCATCACTTTGCTTGTCACTTGTTGCTTGCTGTCTTTTGCCTGCTCTTTGCCATGAACTGTTTCTCCTTTGTGATGCCACCCTGCCTTGGAGCCACTATGGACTGAAACCTCTACAAACTGTGAGCCAAACAAACCTTTCCTCTTTGAACTTTGGGTGTCGGGTATTTTGTCTCAGCAAAGAGACTAAGACAGCAGGTGTGTGCCACCGAGCTCGGAGCCTCACCCTTCCCTCCATCGCCCACCATGTACACCCAAGTGCTTCCCACTCCCAGCTACTGCCAGTCCTGTTGGTATAAACCCAGCAAGGCAATGTCTGGCCACCTGTTTTCCATCTCTTGCATGTGTCCCAAGACAGCAGGGTCCCATGGGGACTGTCCAGTGTCCCTGCCTCCCATACCAATCCATATTCCTTCTGGCGTTTATTGCCACCTGCCAGTACACTGTGCACCTCCTTGCTTTACTACCTACCTGGGCACGATGGCACACACCTATAATCCCTGCACTAGGGAAGCTGAGGCAGGAGGATCTCAAGTTGAAGCCCAGGCTGGACAACTTAGTGACTTAGCAAGTGAAAAAATAAAAACAGGGCTGGGGATGTAGCTCAGTGAGAAAGCCCTGGTTTCCATCTCCAGTACTGTACCACTAAACAAACAAACAAACAAACAAACAAAAAGAAGCCAGTTGTGGCTGTGCCCCCTCCCCCCCTCTCAATGGAGAGAAAGGTCCCTTCCTTACCTCCCTTTCTAACTCCCCAGGGACTAGAAGGTCCCTCGAGGCGCCCTTCCCAGGCCTGATTCCTCCTCCCAGCTCCGAGCCCAGCTCCCCAGTGACCAAGGACAGCTGCTTCTCGTCTGAGCCTCAGTTTCTCCATTCGCCTGCAGAATCAGTTGCATCATGGCTGTATGTAGGGGATACAGGAAGTTGAACCCAGGGCCTTCGAACTAAGATACATCCAGCCCCTTTTCACTTTTTATTTCCACACAGGGTCTCGCTCGGTAGCCAGCTTGTCTACCTTTCGACCCTCCTGCCTCAGCCTCCCGGAGTGCTGGGCTGACAGCCATGAGGCACCATGCAGGGCTGCATGCGCCTCAGGCTCTCCTTCCAGGAGCCCCACTTCCTGCTTCCTGCTCTAAACCTGGGGCACAGGATTAGTGCACCCAGGACAGAAGACAAAGTCGGACAATCCGCCTGGCCAGCCCACTCTGGGGGCCCCTCGATTCTCACAGCCCAAGCTATGGTTGGGCAGCTGGGTGTGCCTGGCCCAGCTGGGCTGTATCCCTGGGGCAGTGGCTCTGGGGACCCACGTCCAGGCCCCACCCGCGGCCCGCAGTGGTCACCTCCCTCCCGCCCCTCCGCGCATTCCAGCTGCCCTCAAACTGCCAGGAATGCGGCCCTGGCCTCTGAGGCTAAATTGGGACCAGCTGTTCCCAGAGGCCTGGACCCCTGGCAGGGACGGCACGGCACGGCTGCTCAGAGTCTCCCTGGGCATGGGCGGCCTGCCACGGGTAAACTGAGCCACGGGCATCACGCAGAGGTCTGTGGATCCCCTGGGCTGAAGCAGCTGTAACGTGGACCGGCTGCGTGCTGGCAGCCACTGGAAGCGCGTTTCCAACCAGGGCGTGACCTGTGCGTGACCATGGCGGCCGCCAGCGCCACGCCCACCCTCCGGCTGGGCAAACTGAGGCCCGCCTGGGCTCAACTGGGTAGAGCAGCGGACCCCCTTTCTGTCCCCTAGGCTGTCCCTCCCCACTCCCTCTGCCACCCAGCTGGGTCAGGGGCCGTCTGGGGTCCAGTCTTGGCTCTGCCCCTGGGAAGCTGTGTGGCTTTAAGCAGCCCAGCAACCTCTCTGGGCCCCAGAATCTTAACCTCGCTATGTGTCAGGGAGATGCTTTCTGGGCTCTGAGATAGCACCCTGAGCTTGCAGAGGACCCCAACCCCATCCTCGACCTCTCCTGGCCGAGGTGGCCCCAGGAGCCCCAAGGCAGGCCTGGTAAACTGCGTGCTGGGACTGGCCCGCTGGGAGGGCATATTCCCAGATGCCTGTGGGAGCCTGTGCCCCCCCCTCCCCCGCTCAGGGATGACTGCACTCAGAAGGTCCCCCGCATGTCTGGCCCTGTATCTGGGATCAGCACCTACTCTTTCCCAAAGACGCTCTGCTGTGTGACTCTCAGCCTATCTGCCCTTCTCTGATCTAGGGCCAGAAGCACTTTCTGTCTTTACATTTTTTTAGTATTGGGAATGAACCCAGGGTCTTCACGCTGAGCTAGACTCCCTGCGGGTTTTTTTTGTTTGTTTGTTTTTTGGTACGCAGCAGGCAGCAAAACCACTGAGCTAAATCCCTGGCCCTCCCTGCCCCTTTTTATTTTGAGAAAAGTTCTTGCTACTTTGCTCAACTGGCCAGACGGGACACGACCTTGCGATCCTCCTGCCTCAGCCTCCCAGAGTGCTGGGAAGACCAGGTCCACCAAGAAGCACTTTCTGAAACACTCCCCGGGCCACGCAGCTTCCAGGTGATGAACCCCATGCACGGAGAGGACCCCGTGCTGTCCCTAACCTCATGAGACTGAGACGGGAGAAAGCGCGCAGCGGATCTGAGTCCTTGGTCCCACTACCCCAGGTGTGAGTGGCTGGAAATTCCGCTGGGGCCCCCCACACCCTCTCCAAAAGCCACCAGCCCCGCCCCCTTCCCCTTCCACACCGGAGCACCCCAAACGCGGAAGTGATAAGGAACGGACAGCTGGGGTCCCTCTAGACCCTCTGAGCTTTCTTGGGCCTCCAACCTTCAGGAGCCCCGTGGGCGGGGGTGGCCCTGGGCAGGGGCCAGGATGCAAGAGGTCAGACCAGGGCCCCCTAAACGTTGGGGACATGAGTGGTCACTCCCCCTCCCCACCCAGACCTCAGACCCAGGCGCCCCCAGATGTGCGGGAGCCTCAGGGCAGCCTCGCGAACCCCCAGATGGCAGGGAGACAAGGTCTCCCTGTCCCCCACGGTGCCCGAGGTCCCCGAGGGCTGCTCCGCAGGTCGGAGCTCGCCCTTACCCGGTTCTTGACCTCGGCCGACAGCCCGTACGAGGGTCCCTTGTTGAACTGCGTGGAGCTCATGGCTGGGACGCACGGGCGACAGACACGGACAGACGGTACAGGGACCCGGGATGGGACCCGGGCGAGCGCCGGACGGGACAGGGCGGACGCCGCCCCCCGCCGCTGATTGGATCGGAGCGCAAATGCCCTTATAAGGCCGGGAAGGGCCGAATTCCTGCGGCCGCAGACTTCCTGAGCCCCCGGCCGCCATCGACCCCCGCCCGCCGGCGAGGCCACCCCGGCACTGCGGGAAACTGAGGCAGGCAGGGCAGCGGCTGTGGGCTGGCCCGACAAGGAATTACTCCTGCCCTGTTCGTCCTGCTCTGAAGTCTCCCTCTCATCTTTTCTGGTTCTCAGTTTATCTATTTGCATAGTGAAAATGAGAACCCTTCTCTGCCACTTAAAGGCACCTCCCAGACTGTGCCTTTCCTCCCAGGAACTCTCACAGCTGGGGGATGGACAAGGGGACAGGCAGGTTCTTCAGTAGAGGGGCCAGGGTGGGGCTGGGGTTTTGATGGATGCATAGAAGTTTGCCAGTGCAAAAGGGAATGCTCTTTTGGTAGAATAAAAGGGTGGCGGGAAGGTTGTGGCGATCCAATCAGCTGGGGAGACAGGGGCCTGTGTAGGAAAGAAAGGGCTTTGAGTGGAGGGCTGAGGGCTGATGGGAATCAGGTGAAGTGGTGAGCGGAAGTGAGTTCAGGTTAGGTCGGGGGTGACATCGGGGCAGGCACACAATGGCAGTTCAATAGGTGCTTGAGCTCAGAGGCTTCCAGTGGATCAATAAGTTACTAAATGTCAGTAGTTTCGCGGCCTGCTGCGCAAGCACAAGGATCGGAGTTCAATCCCCCCAACCCACCCCGTAACAAAAAGAAAAAAAAAAATTAAAATTTGGGCTGGGGATGTAACTCAGTGGTTCCCGTGCCTCCCTCAAAGCGCAAGGTCCCGAGTTCGATCCTCAGTACCAAAAAAAAAAGTTACTAAATGAGCTGGGCATAGTGGCGCACACCCGTCATCCCAGCACTCAGGAGGCTGAGGCAGGAGGATCGCCATGAGTTCCAGGCCAACCTGGGCTACGTAGGTAGATGAAGCCCAGCCTGGACTACATATCTAGTCCCTGGCTCAAAAATAAACATATAAGGGGAAGGGATTCAGCTCAGTGGTTCCGCTGCCTGCCTCGAAAGCACAAGGTCCCGTGTTCGATCGCCTGTACCAAATATATAAATAAAAATAAATTACTAGATGAGTAAAGGAGCAAATGAATTCTCCTTCAGTTCGTTCCCTCACCTGTGTGCTGAGCAGAAGCACTGCCATGTCGCTAGGACCCCCTCCCTCAGAGGGGCGTCTGCAGGGGAGTCTACTTGAAAACTGCTCAAAGAATATTGCCTGTTAAAGAGGGGATGGGAAGTGGGGTTTTGAGGCTTGAGCAAGAGTTGGACACAGCTGGTAAGTGGCTGGCTGGGCTCCTCCAGAACTCAGGGATGACTCCCCCACCCCTCCTGGGAGATGGCTTCTCCCATGCCCTTCCTCTGGGACATCTGTTTGCTCTTTTGCCACCTGTCATTCTCCCATCCCATCTCTCTGAGTTTGAGTCCCAGCAGGGTGGTTTTAGGCAAATCCTTGTCCTTCAGGGTCTCCAATTTGAGGTCTTTGGGGAATGGGCCTTGGGGCCCTGGACACCCCTGGAGGGCCAGCTGTGGGGCTAACAGGCAGCACTGTGGACCCCTCAACAGAGATGCAGGGGCAGCTAGGGGGTCCAGGGAGGGCCCAGGGCTGGCCCAGGGCTGGCTTGGACCCTTCAGGCTGCAGGGATCCTCCTGCTTCAGCCTCCCTACATGTCCTTGACTGCAGGTGTACACCACCTCCACTGGGTTTCTTTCCTTTTAATCAATTTTAAGTTCAAATTAAAAACTGGTGGGAGCCAGGGATTTAGCTTAGTGTTTCTGGCGCCTGCCTTGCAAGCACACGGTCCTGAGTTCGATCCCCGATACCAAAAATAAAATAAAAAAAAAACTGATGGTGCATTTCAGTGTTTGTTTAAAGAGAGAGCCTTACCTTGCTCTGTTGCCCAGGCTGGGCTTAAATTTGCAATCCTTCTGCCTCAGCCTCCCAGAATGGTGGGATGACAGACACATGCCACCTGTGCAGAACTTTTCTACCTTCTGTGTATTCTGGTGTGTTGGTTCCTCTATAAGGGCACAGAGGACCAGTTGCTCTTCGAAACAGGACTGAAAAGCCAGTTGTGGTGGCACACACTTGTCATCCCAACACTCAGGAGGCTGAGGCAGGAGGATTGCTGTGAGTTCAAGCCCACCCTGGGCTCCATAGTGCATTCAAGGCCAGCCTGAACTACATATCCAGACCCTGTCTCAAAACACCTAAAACAAACAAAAATCAAAACAAAACCAACCCAAAACCAAAACAAACAAAAAACAAATCAAAGCTGAACATATGGTCTGTTTGTCTTTTTACACAAAAAGTTTGCCGATCTTTGGTCTTAACTCTCAGCATCCCAAAACCCAGGAATCCTCCTGACCCAGACATCCCAGAATTTGAAATCCTGGGGATCTGGCACTTCAGCGTGCTATAGTTCCAGACATCCAAGACCTCAGATTTCCAGAATTCCATGCCTCAGTCTAACCTGATGATTTCTTTTTAATCTGATGATCTTGATGCTCCCTATTTCCCACCTTACAGATCCTGGCTGCACACTCAGCTGTGTGGTTTTATCATCAAATCCATACCTCTCTGAGCCTCTGTCTCCATATCTGTAAAATGGGCATGATAGAAGTGTCTTTCTGGGGCCAGTGTGAGGGAGAAATGGGTGAATATTTGCAAAGTAAGCTGGGCATGGTGGTTCATATCTGTCATCTCAGCGACTTTGGGAGGCTGAGGCAGGTGGATCACAACCTTGAGGCCAGCCTGGGCCACCTAGAAAGACACTGTTTGAAGCCTTGAACGCTGTATTCCAGGCTGGCCTCGAACTTGCAGTGATCCTTCTGCCTCACAGGCGTGTGCTACCATGCTCAGCTCACTGTATTGAAATTTTACAAAAAATTGTTTATTTGTTTACTTTTGAGACAAAGTCTCACTACTCGGTCCCAACTGGCCTTGAACTCACTATGTAGCCCTGCTTCAGCCTACCAGGAGCTGGCATTACAGGCATGCACCACTAGGCTTCGCTCAAAATTTTAAATTTTTTAAAGGGCTAAGGGTGTGGCTCAGAGGCAGAGTACTTGCTTAGCATGCATGAGGCCCTGGGCTCCATCCTCAGCAAAAGGAAACACAAATATTACCAGAGTGCTAGGCAGACGCCTGGTTAGAGATAAGGGTGGACTTCCTCAACAGATAACAGAAATTTAGGAATTTCAAGCTGGGAAGCAGGAACCTGGTGGGTCTCAAGGACTTCTTGGCTTTGAGAAGAGCAGGCTGGGCCTCTGGGCCACCTGGGCTCCTCACCCTAAATGTCACCGTCTGCTCAGATCTCACCATGGGAAGGTTCCCGGCCCTGGAAGAACAACGGCTGGGAGAAGCGTTTTGGAGACCCTGAACTCTGCTCCATGTGATCCCCGGGCCCGGGGGAGCCCAGTGAGGACTGGTCACTTACAGCCACAGACTGGTGACAACGACAGCAAATAACAGTAAACAATGAAGTAATCTCAAGCCAGGCGAAATGGGTATGCTGGTAATGCCAGTACTCTGGGAAGCTGAAGCAGGAGGATCACTGAGAGTTAGAGGTCAGCCTGGGCTACATAGGGAGACCCTGTCTCCAAAAACAAACAACAAACAAATAAATTAATGTCTCTGCTGGAGACTCGTCCACCCCGTCGTCCCCAGTGGGATGTCGAGCAGGTGGCACACAGCAGATGCAGGCTTGGTCCCCGCAGGCTGGAGGCGGAGAGTCCCAGAAATGAAGGAAGACGGTCTTCTTCAGCTGTTCGATTCTCAGAATTTCCAAGAAGAGCCTGGAAGGGCACAGAGGGCAAGTGGAGCAGGTAGGTGTAGTGAATACCGAAGATGGGCTGGCAAAACCATGCTTTCCCTCTCTTGCATACAGTAGGCGTTCAATAAACGCCTCGGTCAGATGTCGTTGAGTCCAGTGCCTTAGCAGCCCTGCCAAGGTCGGGGCGGCCGAAGGCTCAACCAATCGCAGACTTCCCCGAGAAAGAGGTGAGGCGGAAAGAGGCCCTCTGAAGTCGAAGACTGGGAGCAGTTGTGTGTTTTGTGACCTCACCCCCACCCCAAAAAATATGGAACGCTTCACGAATTTGCGTGTCATCCTTGCGCAGGGGCCATGCTAATCTTCTCTGTATCGTTCCAATTTTAGTATATGTGCTGCCGAAGCGAGCACACGAACCGCTCTGTAGCCTGAGGTATTTAAGGACTCATACCAGGAATACTTTACACTTAGGCTAACTTGTCATCAGTTTATACTTGATATATTTTCACAAAATATCTCCTCTCATCGTTTACTTTGAATTTTTCTAAGCACACTAAAAGCCTGAGATGTTGACTAACTTGATTTAACAAGAGAGGCCTTGCAGCCGCCTAGGCTTATGGGACGCTGTATGCAAAGACAGCCAGCGACTCCGCCCTCCTCCCTGCACCACCGAACCTGGCCGCCCGCGCCAGGGTGGAGCCTCCGCGGGCGGCCGCGGGCATCCCAGGGTGCCCCGCGGACCGGCGGCGCTCTGGTCGGCCGCTCTCGCTGGCGTCGTAGGGCCCGGTGGAAACGCGAGCGAAGGCGGCGGCGACCGTGGGTGGCGGCGGCCGGGAGGCGTCTCAGGCACCAGCTGGCCGGTAGGGCGACACGGGGAGGCATGTCGGAGCACGAGACGCCCGCGGCCCCGGAACCCGGGCCCAACGGCGGCGGCGGCGGCGGCGGCGGCCCGGCCCCCGCGCGCGGCCCGCGCACCCCCAATTTGAACCCCAACCCCCTCATCAACGTGCGTGACCGGCTCTTCCACGCGCTCTTCTTCAAGATGGCTGTCACCTACTCACGGCTCTTCCCGCCCGCCTTCCGCCGCCTCTTCGAGTTCTTCGTGTTGCTCAAGGTGACCGACCCCCCGACCCCTAACCCCGGCGGCCAGGCAGCGCCTGGCCTGCCCCCCAGGCCTAGATCGGGCCGACCCTTTGGGATCCTGATGCTTGAGACCTCTGACCCAGGTCTTTTGGACACAGTGCTGCCCTGAGGTTTCCATCTCGGAATTCCTGTTAGTAGTCGCTGGACCGGGCTTCTGACCTAGATCCTCACCTTCCACAATCCTGGAGCCCCACCCTGACCTGCTAACTCCAGGGTCCTCCTCCCCACGCCCTTTGACCCTGACTCTGCAGCCCGTGATCCCAGCCCCAGGACCCCTGTGCTGTTACCTTCCACCTGGTGGGGGTGTCCCCCTCCTGGCACCTTCCACTGCCCGCACTGCCCTTCTCCCTGCTCTGAGCCTCGCAGCCATGTGTAACTTAGCTGAGGTCCCCTCGCTAGGGTTAGCAGCAAAGTCACAGCCAGCACCAACTCCTCCGGGCCTCCTCCGATTGAGCCTGCCGTGATCCCTACCTGCTCTGGCTCTCACTAGCTGTGGTTCTCAGGTGGTGCTCAGGGCCCTAGGGAGGAGTCTTGCTGGGGTGACAGCACTTCACAAGACTTGCAGCTGGCCAGCTGCCTGCATTCAGGGTTTCCCACCCATCAGGGAATGGAGAAATAGCTGGGCATGTGGATATCGGATGTTGCTGGGCAAGCTTTTGCTTCCTTGTCTGATGAGAGGGATGTGGCCAGTGAGGCTGTGGACAGGAGCAATACTATTTGGCGTTTGGTGTAAGGAGCTGTAGCCTGGCCACTGGACAGACCTGGCTGAAGTTCTTGGGCCCCACCACAGCCTTTGGGGGAGCCTCTCTGAGCCTCCAGTCCTGGGTTATAGGGGACTGATGCATCCATGCTGGTGCTTGGCCTGTCTTTCTTCCCCTTTCCTCCTCCCTGTGGGCCCCAGAAGGGCTTGGTCACTTGAGCACAGTGTGGGAGGTAACACAGAATCCAGAGTCCTTCATCCAGGTCCTGGGGTCTTTAGGTGGCCTGACATTGTGGACAGAAGCCAGTCTGTGAGTGTGTGTTTTTCTTGGGACACTGCATCTGTTCTGAAAGAAGCCATTGTGCCCCTAGGCAGAGCTTGTCATTGCAGGTCCTGTGCCCAGTGATGGCCTCTCCTGAAGGTGCTTCCTGGTGGCCTCTGCCCTGGTCCCACTGCTCACTGGCTTGGAAGTGATGAGTGTTGGATCATTCTGGGAAGCCTGTGCCCATCTCCAGGCAGGCGGCACTCTTGGGACCGAGGACACCCCACACACACTGAGGGAGTCCTTCCTCTACTGGGGGTGCCAGGTGGATGTACCCAGTGTCCCAAGCTCTGGGGTGTGGAATCAGCGCTGTGCTTCTTTCTCTGGCTGTGAGGCAAGGCCAGGCCCAGCTGGTCACTGAGTTCAAGGAAGCTCTGCTCTCCTCTTCCTGCCCACCCAAAGGGCTGGGCTTCCGAAGATTCTGCAGAGGGGTGGCTCACTGCTTCCTGTGGGGCCAGTGCAGCTGAGTGCCCTGTCCACCATGCCTGGGATGTTGCCAGATTCTGGGGGAGAGACGGAGTGGCACCACTGAGCTAAATCCCTGGCCCATGGGGAGAAGTGGCACCCAGGCCAGTTTTGGAGGGACCTTTGGAAGACCACTCTTGGTGCCCTCGGCTGGTTTCATGGTGCTGAGGCCAGAGGGGCAGAGGTGGGTTGGATCTGGGACATTAGGCTCAGTGCCCAATGCTGGCCACCAGCAGGGGTGTCTTCGGGGCAGAGAGACCCTGGCACATGCCACCCCTGGATGTGGGTAGGTGCCCATTCCTCTGGTGAGTGGAGTGGACAGGGTACCCCTCTCGGGGTTATTGGGAGAACTTTCATGGTGACTGTCTCCGTGGAAGGAGTGACCTGTTCCCCCGGGATGGAGGCTGGGATACCCTGAAGGTTTTCCTGGCTGGGGTTCAGGCTCTGTGACGAATCCCTGGGGAGGAAAGTGTGGCCCGATGTACTTGTTCCTTAGTCAGTCAACATTCAAACTGAGGCAACAGTTGGCCCTTGGTCTGTGAAGGGAGAGGGAAAGACCTGCTTGGAGGTGGCGTGTTGCTGTGCCTGAGCCCAGGATGGGGACTTGAGGACCTCCTGGAGGAGGTGGTGGAGTGCAGCCTGGATTCGGGTATCTGACCTGGGCATAGCACTCCTCCTGCGGGGCTGTGGAATGCAGTGCTGACCACCAGATCTGGAGATGTGGGGCAAGGTGGGGCTGTGCAGGGTCACTGGGGAGGGCTGGGTGTCCAGGCAGCAGGGCTGGGGACGGATGCCAGCGCAGGGGTTGGGGTGTGGACCACCCCCACTGTGTGGAGTGGCTGGGGGAGACTGTATGTGGCAGAGGGTGACAGGGCAGGTGGCACAGGGCCAGGGTTCCAGGCTGCTTCATGAGGCTGCAGGAGGTCTTGGGAAGGGAGGGCAGAGGGTGTGTGGTAAGCGTGGCTGGGTGCTCCGGCTCACAACTCTGCAGAGGGGGAACTGGGGTGGGGCTACTCAGAGCTGCTAGAGCCAGCACCAAGGTGATGTCTGAGTCACAGTCGAGTCCCTTGTCCTTGAAGGATGACTGGTCACCATAACCTGTGGTGGACGTGGTGGGTGAGCATCCTGCCAGGGCCCTGAGGAACGGCCCGAGACTGCTCCCCGCGGCCTCGTGTGGTCCTGTTCCCTCACCCACAGACCACAGGCCAAGGGAGTGTGTCCATGAGAAGCTCTGGGGAGCCCCTGGCTCAGCACCCTCAGGTGTTGGCACGGCACCAGTGTTGTCCTTTGCTCCAGTGGGTGTCCATGGCACACCTGCTGGGCATCCCAGCCTGGAGGACAGAGTGCAGCCAGCAGGCTCCCTTGGAGAGCCTGGCTGACCGCATGGTCCATCTCCCACCAGTCCCTCCTGCCCAGGAGGCTGAGCAAAGGGACTGGGGTCTGCTCCTGCTGCCACCTCCTTGGGACAAGCTCCTTCCCTGTTCTTAGTTCCGCGCATCTGGCTGCCCACGGCTGGGTGGCTCCTGCTTTTGTTCTATCTCAGTCATGCATTGACCCCCATCTCTGATGTGTCTCAGGCTGCAAGAGTGGAAACTCAGTTCCTGCTGGCCCAGGAGGCAATTTCGAAGCTCCCAGCTGAGGAGCTTGTCAGGGCTCAGCCCAGCATCAGGTGTGGCTGGGTCCAGGCCTTCCACAGCGAGCCCAGCCCCGGGCCGCTCAGGTCACAGCAGCTGAGACAGTGCAGGGTGGGGCGCTGTGCTGCCCATCCCTGCACCTGGCCACAGAGTGGAGGGCAGGCTGGCGGTGAGCACTGGAGGGAGGGAGGGATGGTGCTCTGGGGTCTTCTCTGCCTGCCACGTGCTCAGTGCACCTCAGGCTCACTGTCAGCAGGTCAGGCGGGCACTGTGCCCTGGCAGCTCCTCCTGGAAGAGCCTGGGAGCTCGGGGTGGTGGGTGCGTGGAGCACATCAGAGGCTGTGCTGCAACCTAGCTGAGCGCCACATGGCGCCCTGGCACCCATTTTTTCCCCAAGGGGACCTCACTGCACCAGTGGGCCCGATGCGCCTTGGAGTAGGGTGGCAGATGGCCCAGGTTAGTGCCACCTGTGGACATGCATCCTGCCTGCCAGGGCGGCCTCCCCACAGTGCTGTGCACTCTGAGGCTGGTGAAGGGGCACAAGTGTGTTCCGGGCACTCAGGTGCTGAGCAGCATCCCTGGGCTCCACCTGCTCCATGCAGGCATTGTAACAACCACCAATGTCCCTGGACATCGCCCAGTGTCCCCCTAGGACAGCGCCGCCCTAGTTGAGAGTCGTTGGGTTGGGGATCCCGTATCCCCAAAGGCCCCCTTTCCCTTGATCACCTGCCCTGCTGAGCTCCTAGGACGCCGCCCAAAGTGCCACCCACACACTGAGTGGGGAGGGAAGGAGGGGTCGGTCCCTGGTCACACTGCAGGCCCCAACAGGATGTGACCTGCTGTCTTGTGGGTTTTCCCCAATAACCAATGCAGAGTTTCTCTGTGGCAGCTTCAAACAGGGTCCTCAGGGTGCGCATCCTGGGCCCTGTAGGGCGCTGAGCAGTGTCCCTGGCCTCCACCTGCTCTGTGCCAGGAGTAGCCTCAGTTATGACAATCACCAGTGTTCCCCGAGGGCAGAGTTATCCTGTGAGAGTGCCTGCTGTCCCATTTTACAGATGAGGAAGACATGCGTCCCAGGCAGAGCAGCCTGACCCTGCCGGGGGTGCCTGGCCCACCCGTGGGGCTCAGCATGTCCCGGGCAGCTCTGCTGGCCCTGCAGAGGGGGCACTATTTTTAGCTGGTGAGATCAGGGGCTCCAAGGACATCTCAGGGCAGAATGTGAGGCAGGAAATGGCTGTGAGGCTGCGGTGGACTCAGCCCAGTGGGATGGGGATGCTGGTTGGTGGTGCTAATGGACCTTTCCCAGGTGGGAGCCACACATGAGGGCTGGGAGGCCTTCAGGACGTGTGACAAGGGTCCCCCAGAGTCCTCAGTCCCTCTCACTGCCTCGGTTCAGCCCTCACTGACCACTGTATCCCCCCAGGCACTGTTTGTGCTGTTCGTGCTCGCCTACATCCACATCGTCTTCTCACGCTCCCCTGTCAACTGCCTGGAGCACGTGCGAGACAAGTGGCCACGCGAGGGCGTGCTGCGCGTGGAGGTGCGGCACAACTCCAGCCGCGCGCCCGTCTTCCTGCAGTTCTGCGACAGTGGCGCCCAAGGCAGCTTCCCTGGCCTGGCCATGGAGCCGGGTGGCTTGGAGCTGGAGGAGGAGGAGGAGCTGACCATGGAGATGTTTGGGAACAGCTCAGTCAAGGTAAGCCAGCTCTGGAGGACCAGGGTGTGGGCCTTGGTGGCCTCAGCTGGTGGAGGCTGGGCCTCTGGAGAGGAGAGCTGATTGCCTGCAGGGGGACTGGGGCCAGGGCATAGCTGTGGGGGGTATACAGCCTCACGCACTGGTGGGTCCCTCTGTGCTGGGGTCCTGGCCTTGCCTCCATCCCCAGCTGATGGGGGCTTGGTGTTAGGTGGGGTCCTGACCAAGGCGGGAGATCCAGGAGTTGGCTCTGGAGGTGACGGACATCCCAGCTGTTCCAGGACCCTGTCCTCCAGGCCTGGGTGAGTCCCACTGGATGTGCTGATGCCTTGTCCCTGGTCGCCTGCAGTTTGAGCTGGACATAGAGCCCAAGGTGTTCAAGCCGCCCACTGGCACTGAGGCCCTGAATGACAGCCAGGAGTTCCCCTTCCCTGAGACGCCCAACAAAGGTACAGGGGTGCCTGCCCGTGAGGTGGGGTGGTGAGTGCCGCCTGGCCGCTCTGACCAGCCTGTTCCCACAGTGTGGCCGCAGGACGAGTACATTGTGGAGTACTCGCTGGAGTATGGCTTCCTGCGGCTGTCGCAGGCCGCGCGGCAGCGCCTCAGAATCCCTGTCATGGTGGTCACCCTGGGTGAGCCTGGCGCCCTGAGGGGCTCTCGCCACTGCTGTGGGGTGGGGCTGGGCCCAAGGCCCCAGCTGCCCTCCCTGACCCCCGCCCCTGTCCCACAGACCCCACACAGGACCAGTGCTTCGGAGACCGCTTCAGCCGCCTGCTGCTGGACGAGTTCCTGGGCTATGATGACATCCTCATGTCCAGCGTGAAGGGCCTGGCAGAGAACGAGGAGAACAAGGGTGGGGCCCGGCCTGGCCCATAGCAGTGGGCTCCAGGGTTCTGGGGGTCTGTTGTCAGGGGTCAGGGCACGGCTCACTGCCTCCCGCACAGGGTTCCTACGGAATGTGGTCTCGGGGGAGCACTACCGCTTCGTCAGCATGTGGATGGCGCGCACGTCCTACCTGGCTGCCTTCATCATCATGGTCATCTTTGTGAGTGCCTCACTGGGGGGCAGGGTGGGCTGGGGCGGGCTCCCTGTGGGTGCCCCTGACCACCTCCGGGCCCACCCACTCCCTGCAGGCCCTCAGCGTGTCCATGCTGCTGCGCTACTCACACCACCAGATCTTTGTCTTCATCGGTGAGTCCCGGCTGGCTGTGGGGGGTGGGGGAATTCACCCCCAGGCCCTCATGGGTGGCCCCATGCCCTATGCCCCCAGTGGACCTGCTGCAGATGCTGGAGATGAACATGGCCATCGCCTTCCCTGCAGCGCCCCTGCTGACCGTCATCCTGGCCCTCGTGGGTAAGGATCCTGCCTGGCCTCCGCCCTCTGCCCCACCCCGCCTACTCCAACCCAGCGCCTGTCCCCACAGGGATGGAGGCCATCATGTCTGAGTTCTTCAACGACACCACCACAGCCTTCTACATCATCCTGATCGTGTGGCTGGCCGACCAGTACGACGCCATCTGCTGCCACACGAACACCAGCAAGCGGCACTGGCTAAGGTGAGCCAGCAGAGGAGTTGGGACCGGGCAGTGTGGGGGCCCAGGTCGGGTACAGCTGGGTGCCCACATTCATACCTGGCCTGCAGGTTCTTCTACTTGTACCACTTCGCCTTCTACGCCTACCACTATCGCTTCAATGGGCAATACAGCAGCCTGGCCCTGGTCACCTCCTGGCTTTTCATCCAGGTGAGGCCCAGGAGGCAAGGGGGACCTGCCCTGCCCGGTTGTTGGCTGGTGGGAGAGGGGAGACTGAGGTCGTGAGGAAGGCCGGGTTCGGGAGTAGGGTGGGAACCTCTTCAGGAAGGACTGAGCTTCCCTGTTACCCTGCCTGGGCAGCTCGGGGCGTCCTTGGCCCTGAGTCGTGGGGCGGTCAGAATCCTGCAGGCTGTGGGTACAGGCGAGCTCCCTTGTTCAGGAGTAGGCGGGGCCGCCTCTCGAGCCAGGATGTGGGCGGGGTTTTAGGCAGCGTTCAGTTCTGCGCAGGCGCTCCTGTGGCTGAGCAGTGGGCGGAGCCTCTCTGGTTCTGGGCTCTGCTGCCCACCTAACTCCCCCCTTTTCCCCGCCCCCAGCATTCCATGATCTACTTCTTCCACCACTACGAGCTGCCCGCCATCCTGCACCAGATCCGCATCCAGGAGATGCTGCTGCAGACCCCGCCACTGGGCCCCAGGACCCCCACGGTGCTACCGGATGACCTGAACAACAACTCCGGCACCCCGGCCATCGCACCCGACCCTGCTGGCCAGCCCCTCGCCCTAGGTCCTGGTTCAGCTGGAGCCGGCGGGGTGCCTGGGCCTGGGCCCGCGGTGCCCAACACCCTAGGGGCTGTGGCTGCCTCAGTGGCTGCCGCGGCCGGGGGTGACCTGGGCTGGATGGCTGAGACAGCCGCCATCATCACTGATGCCTCCTTCCTGTCTAGCCTGGGCGCCTCGCTCTTGGAGCGGAGGCCCGCCGGACCCCTGAACCCCAGTGGGGGCCTTCCCCACACCCCTCAGGACAGTGTCCCCCAGAGCGACTCCTTGGCACCCGACACAGCCTTCCTAGTAGCCACCGGGACTGGGCCGGGCACTGCACCCAGGACCCCAGCTGACTCGCCCTCCGAGGTCTGGTCCTGAGCATCCCAGCTGCCGGGCGTGACATCAGAGCCCGTGGTAGGGAGGCTGTCCCTCATGGGGCCTGGGCCATCCCCCTCCCTGACTGCCTGCCTGTGCTTTGTGGCCAGTGGCCACCGAATCGATCATGTTTGGGAGGGCTGGCCTCCCCTGGTGCGCCAGCCAGGACTGCCCTGCTGGAAAGCTGTGTGTGTGGTGGTCTTAGAGGAGTGGGAGAGGGCCACTGAAGGCTCTGGAGGGGCTCAGTGGGAGGCCTGGGGCACCGTCCTGGGGCAGGGCTCAGCAGCAGGTGACAGGCGGGGAGTGGTTGTGTCGGGCCACGGGGCTCGGCCAGCCCAGCTGCCAGGTGCTCCCCAAGCAGTGCCTTCCCGGCCGCCCATCTCCAAGCGCTGCAGCCTGGGTTCCCTGGGTGCGGAACTGTGCCACGGGCACGGCGGGGTCCAGGTGCCAATGTCAGCCGCCTGGCGTTTGTGAGGATGGGAGCAGCGTTCATTCCATTCTATTTAATTGCAGTGTACAAAGTTGTGTTTGTATACAGAATAAACTGTCCATGGACAGCATCTGGTCTGCGCCTGCATGTGGGCAGGGCTGGCTTCACCGTGCCTCCTCCAGGACTGTCGAGGCTTGGAGCAGCTGCAGCGGCCTGTGGCGGGTGCCATCCCCAAGCTGGGCTCGGAGCTCGCCACGCCGCAGTAGGGCCTGGCGCAGCCGCTCTCGCACGGCTTCGATGTGCTGCTCCAGCTCCTCCAGCTCTCCGGGCCGCGGTGCAGGCGACTGCCCATTGGAGCACAGCCAGACTGAGCTCTCAGGTGGCCTGGGCTCCGTGTCCTGGGCCGCAGCCACTGCCGGCTCCAGCAGGAAGCGCACGCGGCGGCGCTCAGTGCCCACAGCCCGGCGCACGTGTTTCCAGCGCCCAGGGCTCTTGGGGGCCGCCTGAGTGGCCTGCTGCCGCTCCTCTGGGCCACTGGGATCAGAGAACGGGGCTAGGCAAGGTCCCAAGGCACCTACTCCCCAACCCCGTTTCTGCCTGGGGCGCTGATTCTCTTGTAGGGGCGGACTGGACTGGAGCATGTGAAGGGCCTCCCCAGGTCCCCACTCACCTGGACTCCGCCTCCCGCTTCTCCTGCGCCAGGGGTCTGTCTGTGTTGAGAGCGCGGTGGATTTTCTAGATCCCAGACAGAGCCTGGTGGGTTGGTGATGGGCCAGTGATGGCAATGTTGTCCCACCCGCTCCCCCAGCGCCCCTACAGCCGCCCACCTGGCTGGTGTGCAGCCAGTACTGCAGTCGGTTCCCCCTACGGATGCGTGGCAGCACCAGGCGGTAGAAGAAATGCTCGCCCAGTGAACTGAGTAGAGCGCTGCCAAGGCCTAGGCAGAGCAGCAGAAATAGGCCGGAGAAGTGGTAGATGCCCATCTGGAGAGTCTAGGGGGTGGGACACAAAGTGGGTTAGGGGCTGTGCACCAGGCGGGTTGGCAGAGGCATCAGGCTGGATGTGAAGTACCATGGAGGGGCACTGCGGTTGGGGTTCTGTGGGACAAGCAAGAGTACACAAAAGCAAACCAATGTCCACTTTGGGAATGACAGGAAGTTGGGTGCCTCAGACAAGGTCCAGGGGCCCCATGTCTAACACAACTCTGAGCATGGGGCCCTAGCTCACCTCTGTAACTGCAAAGACCCGCTTCCCACAAGGCACCATCTTGTACCACTTGTCATGCAGCAGGTCGATGAAGCCAGACGATTTGTAGCGGCTGATGAACTCAGACAGGTTGGAAGTGAGCGGAGAGTTCTGGGGCAGTCCAATGCCGTAGCCTGGGGGAGGTGGGTGGGATGGGGTCCTGGGGCGGGGCAGCCTCGCACACGCCCCAACCCGGCCCTCTCGCGCCCCCTCATCCCCCCTCACCCTCGATGGCAAAGGGCTTGCCCACGGTCAGCAGCTTGCAGTCGGGGTCGATGGACACCTCGTAGTCCAGGAGTGACTTGTCCATGATGAAGGCGTTGAGCTTTGGGGGGTCGCTCCTGTGGATTCGGGAACGTATGAATGTCGACAGAAGCCCCGCCCGCCAAGGCCCCGCCCCGCCGACGCCCCGCCCACCGCTCACGTGAGCATGGCGACGCCACCTGGCGTGGTGGGCGCGCTGTGGCGCCGCATGTGCGCGTGCATCTCCGGGAAGCTGGCTTTGATGTAGGCCTCGGCGCTGCTCTCCCACACCGTGCCGAACCGGAAGCCCTGCGGCGGGTGGTGCAGCTGCCGGGGAAGAGTGCAGGGGGCGCTTTCAGTTGGAGCCGAGACACTTCACCCCACCCTGCCCCGGATGAGACCCCTATCTTGAACCCTTGCTCGTGCATCTCACCACCTCTCCATCTCCCCTCGGCTTCCTTGGGGTCCCCTGGGAGCCCCAAACGCGCACTGCTCAGACCTCCCCTGCACCCCGGGGCAGGCCACCCCACCGCCCAAGCTCCCAACGCCCGGAGCTGCTCCCTGTTCTTCCCCAGCATCCATCTCGCCAGTTTGATCCGCCCGCCGCCTTCCACCCAGCACCCGTCGCACCTCCGGTTCAGGCATCCACAGCCCTGGACCAGCTAAGTTACACTGCCTAGGTTTCCTTGCGCTGACTCTGGGCCTCTTGTCCAGGAAGCCACCAGAGGAGGCTTGTACGAAAAGTAAAAGTCCCTACCAAGCTGTGGTGTCCCACACCTGACACCGCAGTTCTTTGGAAGGCTGAGGCAGGAGGATCACAAGTTCAAGCCTAGCCGGTGCAATTTAACAACTTAGCAAGACCTTTTCTCAAAATTTAAAAATAAGAAAGTCTGAGGTTGTAGCTCAGAAGTAGCGAATCCTTAGGTTCCATCCCTAGTAGCACAAAAGTACAAGCAAATAAGGAGGCCAGACATGGTGGTACATGCCTGTTATACCACCACTGTGGGAGGCTGAGGCAGGAGGATGGTAATATGAGCCCAGCCCGGGCAACTTAGCAACTTAGGGAGATTCTGTCTCAAAACAAGAAAAGGGTAGGGCCGGGGATGTAGCTCAGTGGCACCACACCTGCCTGGCAAGTGAAAGGTCCTGAGGTACTGGAAAAAAAAAAATTTAAAAAAAAAGGAAAAGGGCTGGAGATTTAGATCAGCGGTTTCGCTGCCTGCTACGCAAGTGCAAGGACCAGAGTTCGATCCCCAGTACCAAAGAAAAAAAAAAAAAAGAAAATCATCTCAGCAACGGGAGGCTGAGGCTAGAGGATCGAAAGTTCAAGCATAGCCTGCACAACTCAGCAAGACCCTGTTTCAAAATAAAAAATAGCAAGGGCTGGGCGTGGTGGCACACAACTGTAGTCCCAAGCTGAGGCAGGAGGATCACCATAAGTTCGAGGCCAGCCTGGACTACATAGCGAGACCCTGTCTCAAAAAAAACCCAAAAAACAAAAACACAAAACAAGCAAGGGCTAAGGATGTTGTGTGTGAAGGCCCCTGGTTCCATCCCCAATGGTGGAAAAATTTAAAAGTGTAGGCCAGGGCTCACTTCTTCTCTGCTCTCAGCCCTTCATGGCTCCCACCTTACTTGGACCCAAAACCCAAGTGCTCCCTGCAGGTCACAGGGCCCTACATGGCCTGTCCTGTCACCTCGCCACCTCTCCTTCTTCTGTGCTCCTTGATTCCCCTGCTCCATCTACAAAGGCTCCTGGCTGCCCCTGTACCCCACTGGGTTATGTCCTGCCCCAGCACCTTTGCACCAGCTGTGCCTCTGCCTTGCTCCAGATGCCCACAGGCCCATTTCAGGGCCAGGGATTTAGCTCAGTGGTTCTGCTGCCTGTCTCACAGGCCCATTTCATCAAATGTTTTTGGAGAGTTAAGGATCCCTCTGTGAGGGACTTTTTTTTTTAGTTTTAGGGGGTTTTTTTTGGGGTTTTTTGTTTTTTTTTGAGATAAAGTCTTGCTATGTAATAATCCGGGCTGGCCTTGAACTCACTATGTAGGCCAGGCTGACTTTGAGCTCATGGGGTGATCCCCTTGCCTCAGCCTCCTGAGTGCTGGAATGGCAGAGGCTGTCCACAGAGCAGGGTACACACTGGAGGCAGGGTGTGGCTCAGTGGCAGAGTGCTGGCCTAGCTTGCCTCGAACCTTGATGACCCCCTGGTGCAGCCCACATCTTTGGGGCCACCTACCTTGGGGTCGTGGATCCCTGAGAGCTCCTCGAACGTCTTGTCCCCGACCATGACAGCAGCCAGATTGGCTGTATAGCTGGACAGCACTAGCAGGCAGAAGATGGCCCAGAGGTTCATGAGGAAGCGCCCAGTGGGGCACTTGGGGGTCTTGCTGGACACTGTGCGGCCGAAGAGGATGGCGTAGCAGAGGTTGAGCGCTGAGGAGTAGGAGAAAACCGTGCTGCGGTTGCGACCGCGCGGCGTGAGGCCATAGGGGCTGCGCCACTCGTACAGGGTGAGGAAGAGTGCGGTGAGGTGCAGGGCCGCAAAGACGCCCAGCCACATGGTCCAGTGAAGCGGCCACATGAAGGCGCCGATGGGCGAGGCTGTGTCGTGCGTGCGGACCATGATGCCCAGGCTGGTGGAGAAGAAGGGGCTTGTGAAATCCACCACGCGCGAGCGCGCCGAGTTGATGCTGAAGCTGGTGACCGCCATGTGCGCCGTGCCGGCCAGCAAGTCGCCCACCAGGCCGGTCCAGCGGCCGTCTCGCAGGGCACCGTACTTGCCGTCGCCCACGATGTACAGCTCGAAGGCGAAAGGCGCGTCCTCAGCCAGCCGCTCTAGCAGGTCCATGCAGTAGCCGTAGCAGCACTTGCGCAGGGCGCGTGGCACTGAGCCATTGGCCAGTGCAGCGAACAAAGTGTCCAGTGTTGCAGAGTCGTTGGTGCCTGGGTCCAGGCACAGGTGCCCAGCTGGGCACTGCCCGTCTTCATCGGGCTCCCGGGCAAACACGAATGGGTGCTCTATCAGTGTCACCACGCGCAGCTTGGACCGGGCCTGGGTGCCTGGTGGGGGCAGGGGTCGTGCAGCTACCACGCCTGGGTCCAGGTCCAGATGCCCATCTCGCCAGCTGCCCACGGTGGCCCAGGCTGGGGTGCCCAGTGGGTCCTGGCGCAGGCTCCACACTCTGAACTGCCGTGACATGTGCACCTCGGAGGTGGCCATCACCCACACCGGCCCCGTGAGGCCCTGGAAGGATGTGTTGGCCAGAAACCTAGGGCGGGTGGGCAGGGGGGTCACACTGGCATCTCACCAGGCATCCTGGTCCCCACAATGGGGACCACAGTTCCCCAGCTCCCTCCCCTGCCAGAGAGGCAACTGTCCCCAGTCTTGTCACTGAACCACCAACCTCCATGGGTCCAGGACTAGCCACACAGGAGCAGTCACGCTGACAGGGTGCAGCCTGGCCCTGCTGCCTTTCTTTCGAGACAACTTCTCACTATGTAGTTCAGACCGGCCTTGAACTCACTGTGTAGCCCAGACTGGCCTCGAACTAATAGCAATCCTTCTGCTTCAGTCTCCCAAGTGCTGGGATTACAGGTGTGTGCCACCATACCCAGCATTTTTTTTTTTTTTGGTACCAGGGATCGAACTCTGGTCCTTGCGCTTGCACACACACCCAGAATTTTTTATTTTGAAACAGGGTCTCTCTAAATTACTCAGTTGACTAGGCTGGTCTCAAACTTGCAATCTTCCTGCTTCAGCCTCCCAAAGAGCTGGGGTGATGGGAGTGTACCACCACACCTGGCCATTATGTTGTCTTTTGTGACCAAAAGGTGGCAAAGGTGGCTGTTGGACTCCTCCCACCGCAGAGCTGTACTCACCGTGCCAACAAGCGCCCCCGGGACTCTGGTCCTGCTGGCTGAGGGTCATCACAGCTGACTGCGGCTGGGAGCAGGGTGCGTTCTGGCTGCACTTGGGCAGCACTGCCCAGCGCCTGGGCCACCAGCTCCACGGCATCCTGGATGGCGGCCTCTAGCGGGGGCCGGGCCACCTCGCCCAGTGCCAGCAGCCCAGGTGGCAGGCTGGCCGTGGGTGTGGGAAGTGCCTCTGGGGACAGCGGCGTGCCCAGAAGCCAGTGGGGGCCAGGTGGTGCAGCCTCCAGCACCTGGCCAGCATGGGCAGCATCACAACCCAGTAGGACGACCGTGGATACTGGTGTGTCCCCTCCCACGGGTGTCCTCAGGGTGGCCAGGCGCACCCCCAGCCCTGCATCCCCAATGTCTGGCTGGCTCAGGTCTAGCACAAGCCTGGGGGCGCGACCAGCCCGACTTGTCCAGAGGGCCACCAGGGTGCTGGGGTCACGGACGCGGCAGAGTGCCAGGCCCACGTCTTCCCAGGTGTGTGCCTGCAGCACGGACACCAGAACATCCAGTAGTGTCTCCAGGGGGCTGGCCCAGTCCAGCTGCAGGTGGAACGGTGTCTGGGAAGCAGGCAGTCACAGTTAGGGTCGATGACCTCCACCAACTCCTACACATCCTTCAAAACCCAGCTCCATTGCCCCTCCTCTATGCAGACTTTCCATCTTCCAGGCACAATCTCAGCTCCCCTTCTGAAATCCCCCAGCCTTCAGTCACTCCTGCCAGGCCAGCAAGGCTGGGGGGCCCTCTACCCAGGGCAGGCACAGATTTCTCAGGGACCTGCTCTCAGATCAGGGGCGAGGGGATGGTTTACCTGAAACTCAAGTGAGCAGGGTACTGACGCTGGGTGGGGACAGGGCGCTGCATGCTGGGAGATTGAGGGTAGGGATGCAACTCTGTCCCAAGCAGGGGTCCCAGGCCCCTTTCAAGAGAGGCTGGGAAGTCCCAAGCCCAGGACAACGCAGCCCAGTGCCATGCAGTGCCTGTGCTTGGCAGCAGAGGGCGTCATAGGCAAGGGTTTGGGTTCCCTATCATTTCCCCAGACCCTGGGGGTCGATTGGGGGAGACGAATGAGGATCCTAGGGCTGAGCCCCAGAGAGAGGGGCAGTGGAAAGGAAGAAGGCAGGCGGGTGGGGCTTGGAGTAGGGTGGCCCCAGCCCCTGGAATGAGCCGGCCACTCACTTGGTCCCTCCTTGCTGGCCCTGGGTGGGGGTCTGTCTCTGGGCCCTGGGGTCCCTGTTGGGGTCCTGCCTTCTCTACTCCTGAATCTGGGCTTGGAGTGGGGTCCGGAAGTGATTCATTTCCAGGACCCGCAGAGGATGCAAATGGAGGCGTGGGAATGGCAGTTCGCCCCGGGGACCCAAGGGCGCCTCGAAGCTGTGGGGTAGGGGAATCATTGGGGATGGAGGACTGGGGCGGGGGGAAGGGGCTAGAGAGACCCGCACCCGCTCACCCCCAAACTCCACCTCCCGGAGAGGAGAGGGGGGGACCCGCCTGCCCTCCCAGATAAAGGCAGGACCTGGGGGAGGGCAGGGGGCCCCACGGAAGACCCGCTGGTGCCCGCATCCTCGCGCACAGGCTTCCAGCGGGGTCCTCGGGCGCATCTGATCCGCTCGGGTCCCCCGAGCCTAGGTCCCCACCCTGCGCCCCCAGGGTGAACCTGACGTCCAGCGAATCCGGTCCCTCGCGCTCCGGGGCACCCCCGGAACCTTCCGCCTCCCCGGGCCCCGTCCCCTCGCGGCTTGGGCGCGCCGTCCGCGCGTACCGGGGCGCCGAGGGGCGCACGTGCCTCGCGCCGCAGCAGGCTGAGCACGGGGGTCTCGGTGGCGGCCGCCAGAAAGTGGAGCTGCAGGAGCTCGGGCCGCGCCTCCGGGAAGGCGAGCAGGGCCGCCACGCCCGGCGCCGCCAGCGCCCGGCACAGGCCGCGGGCCAGCGAGGCGGGGTCGCGGGCGGGGGGCGCGGCGACCGCCAGCTCCAGGCTGAGGTTGTAGGGCAGCCGCGGCACCAGGGCGGCTCGCATGAGGGCAGCGCGGGCGAGGGCGCGGGCAGGGGGCGCGCGGGGCAGGAGGGCCCCCAGACGCACGGAGCCCCCGACGCGCGCCAGAACGCCGCACGGGTGCGGGTGGCCGCGAGCTGGCTTCATCCCCAGGGCCAGCGCCAGGCCGAGCCACAGCGCCCGCACAAACTCCATGGCAAAGTTGCGGGTCAGAGCCGGGCGCCGCTTCGGGGCCACTGCGCCGGAGGGGACCGCCCCTGAGGGATGCGCACCCCGCGCTGTTCGGCTCTTCCTCCTGCCCGCCGCCCGAGCGTCCCCAGTGCCAGGGAAGAGCAGGACCCACGCCTGGGGTTTGGCGATGGCCACGTTGGGCAGGGCCAGGAAATCGTGTCATTTTATTTATTAATGTGGGGTGTGTGTGTGTGTGTGTGTGTGTGTGGTTTTTTGTATCTTTTGGTACGGAGATCGAACTTGGGACCTTGTGCTTGCGAGGCAGGCGGTGGAACCACTGACCTAAATCCCTGACCCGTGTGTGTTTTTTTGACAGGGTCTGGCTACCTTGACAGGGTTTAGGCTGGTCTCAAACTCGCTGAAATCCTCCTGCCTTAGCCTTTCTAGTGCTGGGATGACAGGTGTGTGCCACTACACCCAACATCATGTCCCCATTCCACAAGGGGGAATGCTGGGCCGTAAAAACTGTCCCCACACCCACCCCTGCTCTCCAACATCTTGGACCTCCCCAGCTTACCAGTCTGGGAAATGCTGCCCATTGCTCAGACAGGGACACTGAGACTCAAGCTGACATTTGTCTCCGTCTCTCAGGGAGCAGTCTCTACCCAGACCAACCCATGAGTGCGTGTTAGCATTGTGTGGACTCTGGAGAAACTGAGACAGACATATCTGTGGTTTGTTTTTTGTTTTAGTACCAGGGATCAAACTCCGGACCTTGTGCTTGTGAGGCAGGTGCTTGGAACCACTGAGCTAAACCCCCGGCCTGAGGCGGGCATATCTGACTGTAACCTATAGGGTAGATTTGCCCTCCAACCCCGGGGGCAGACAACTTGGACCACAGAACATCTCTTCACCCATCAAAACCCAGTGCCAAATGCCCACTTCTGGGAAACATTGCTTGTTTCTTAGTCAGCGACACGCTCACTCATCTCCAGTACTTTATTTGCACACACTAAGCACTCTATAATTGCTGACTGCCTGAGGGTGGGCTCATAGGCCCCAAGCTTCCTGTGTTCCCCCGGCCTCCTCATGTCTGTCCACTCACCAGGACCCATGGGTGGTCCTGGCATGCAGTGGGTGCTCAGTGGAAAAGGCCAGCGGCATGGGGGGATGAGGGACCTGTTACCAGGAAGCTGGGAATTTTCCTGTCATCCACCCTGGGATTGGGGAATGGGGGTGGCAGGCAGGGACACCCAGCCCTGGTGAATGAATCTGCCCTTGTAATGTCTCCACATGCAACCCCTTCTCCTCTTGGAGCCAAAATAAGAAAACATTTCATTAACTGCGTGATGGCACTGGATGCCAGCAACAAGATGGACTGGGTCTAGGGATGACTTCCCTGAGGGGTGGTAACGGGTTCAGGGGACAGAAAGGCCACCTCATCCAGCCATAGGGTCCTCAGTGCCCACTAGGCCCTGTCACCAGTCCTCAGAAATAGGGACAGGTTTGGGGTCGGGTCACTGAACAAATGTTTGCATGTGCAGATTCTGGGGAGGCCCAATCCCAGCCCTTCATGCTCTGGGCCTGTTTTCAGACCCAGCTGCTGTGAGGCCTGAACAAGTGAACATGAGGTAAGGCTGTGAAGTTTTTATTACAGTAACTTACACAGAAGACTTTGCCTTTATTTGTGATGCCCCCATTTAAACCCAGGGCCCAGCCTTTTTAAAAAAATTAAGAATTGTAAGACAAGTTCTCGCTAAATGGCTAAACTGCCCAGGCAGGCTCTAAATTGTGATCCTCCTGCCTCAGCCTCCCAGAGTGTTGGGATGACAGGTGTGAGCCACTGCGCCCAGTTTTTTAGTTTGGGGAGTTGCAGGACCCCTTTCCACACTGGCCACCCCATTTCATGTTCTCCCCGGCACTAACTAAGGATTTGGCTTCTCCACAGCCTCACCAATGCCTGTGACTTTCCACCTTTCAGAAAATAGCCACCAAGGTGCATGAGGACTGGCATCCTGGGGACAGTGGCGGTCCCAGAAACTGCCTTCATCTGGTGGGCCTCCCTGGGGGCTCAGGGATGGACTCACTGTCCCCTGGTTCTCATCCACCTCTAACTGCACACAGGATAAACCCAAGGTCTCCCTGTGCAGTTCATAGGGTGACCCTTCCACCTCACTCCGGCTTTGAAGAACTGTCCTTTCTTGTTGGACCGAGCCTGGATTCCAAAGGGCCTCAGGCTGGCTTGTGCTGCGGGAACTCTCCTGCTGACCTCAGCGCAGTGACCAGCAGGGCAGGGTGGGTGTGGGCCTGGGAAGCCGTCTGCATGTCAATGCCAACTGTCCCGGAGTGCTCCCGGGGTCTGGTGTCCTGCTGGGCTGGCTGTCCTACTGCAACCAGCAGGGGGTGGGGCGGGGAGGGAGCTTCAGGCCCAGGCTGATGGCTGGTGCCTTTAGCTGTGGGGACCTCTGGGGGCAGGGAGGGACGTGGACCCCTGTGAACTGCTGCTGCCTCCCCACAAAGGAGGTTCCAGGCAGCAGGGCCAGTGCCCAGGCAGCTGCGCAAACCCACCTGACAGCCCCTGTGTTCTACAGCTTTAGGATGAGGACTAGGCTCAGCCCACAGGTGGGGAAACTGAGGCAGTACTCTGGGAGGGGCCTAAGGCCCCCACCAGGACCCCACTGTGCACTGGGCTCTAGGGATCATGGGGACCGCAGGGTACACACAGCCTGGAGAGGGGAAGAGGTGGTGATGGAGGTGCCATTGCCCAAAAGCGCAAACTCAGGGCTGGCTCTGCTTGTGGTGCAGAGATGACAGCACTGCTAAATCACACGGCGCTCCTGGGCCATTAACCAGGGCTGGCGGCTGGAGAGGTGCTCTGGAAGGTTCCAACGGTGTCTGGGCTGTGCTCCAGCTCTGGCTGGCAGTGTCCCCAGAACATCGGGGACCGAGCCTCCCTTAGGCCCGTGGTGCCAAGAGGTGTATCCTCGCCAGGTGGCTGGAGGGCACGTCTGTCCTTCACAGGGACCTGGCCTGGGGGACGCTCCTAGCAGCCGCAGCCCTGACCCAGGCTGTCACTCCTGCCCCACGGTACCCTCTGGGTGACCCCACCACGCCCCCACGTATCAGTGAGGGGACCTGGCCCTGGGGAGCCTCTGCTGCAGGGTGCCAGCCACACCCCAGGGTGGCCAGAGGACCCCACGCTAACTCCCACGGTGCCCCCTCACCACACTGCCAGCTCCCTCTGCGGCCTGGGCCCTCGGAAAATCATCGGGACACCCAAGCCCCTCTGGCCAGTGGGGAGGCCAGACCCACACTCTTGACACCTGCCCTGTTAGGGCGACTTTGGATGGGGTCCCCCCAACCTGCAGGGGTCCCCAACACCGGGAGGCAAGGGGAGGCCTTTCCAGACCATCTTTTGTTAAAAACCGAATAGCACCAAGTGGACAGACGAACACATACCACTGGGCCAGAAGAGGCCAGACATAAGGGGTAAAGTCTACAAACACAAAACTGGGGCGCCCTGACCGCCAGCCCACAGTCTGGAGAGGCTGGCCGGGGCTCCCTGGGGCGGGCGGCGGGGGCTCCTCCCAGGGCGCATTCTGCCCCTTGGCGGGCGTCCGGCCTGGGGCGGCTGCACCCCTCACTTGGCTGGCCTGGTGATGATGTGCGTGGAGAAGTCGAAGAGGTCCCGGTTGATCTTGCGCAGGTTGCGCACCTCGTCCTCCAGCTCGCTCACACGCACCCGCAGCTGGTCCTGGCTGCTCTGGGGTGGGTGGGGACCAGAGGGTGAGGGCCACGTGGCTCTACCCCGGCAGCAGCTGGGACTCCAGGGGTGCCCCAATGGCCTACCTTCTCAAGGGTGCTGCTCATCACGGCCTGCAGGTGCTCCAGCCGCCCCAGGTAGCTGGGCTCCGAGCCCTGGGAAACAAGGACAGGGGCCTTGGGCCTGTGTCATTCCTGGGAGAGGCCCTGGCCAGGCCACCTACAGCTGGGGAGACTGGGTCAGGAGGGGGTTGGCCAGAGGACCCCACCCAGCAGGAAGAGAGACCAACACACTGTGGAAATGGGCCTGCCGGGCCCAGGAGGTCGGGACAGGGGCCAGGTGAGGCGTCTGTCGGCAGGGCACATCTGGGATGGTGTCCTGGGTGGAGGGCTCTGCCGCCTGTCATTGTGGTCCCAGCACAGTGATGGTGCGCAGCCTGGTATGGCCAGGCCCCAAGGGCAGCCAGGGAAGGGTGCCGAGACCCAGGGCAAGAGCCCTCGGGGGACACTGGGCAGAACCAGCCGGAACTGTGCTGCCCGCCTGGGGAGGCAGGGGCCAGGCGGATGCTCTCACACGGCTCGTGTTTGCAGCAGGAGGCCCGGGCTGCTGTCTTGACCTAAGCACAAGCAGCCCTCCGCTTCTGGCGGGCCCCACTTGTGGTCAGAGGCCCCACAGTCCCCATCTTCTGGGAAGACAGTGAGTGGCATCACAACCACCTGCTGGGAGGACAGAGATAACGGCCTGTCCCGCACGTGGGGCCTGTCAGCCAGAACCCTTTGGATAAACAGGAGAAAGAGCTATGTGGGGAGAAATCCTGAGTGTCCCAGAATTCCAGCCGGGGAGACAGATGGTGACAGAAACAGTGGTGGTGGGGCAAGGACGGGCGCTGGCCAAGGTCACAGGTGCTAGGTGGTGGGGCAGGGCGGGTACCTGCTGGTGGAGGCCCAGGCGCAGGGTGAGGGCCCCGCAGCGCGGCTCGTCCCCATGCTCGGCCCCCAGCAGGTGCTTGTTGAAGTGGGGCAGCGGCAGGCTGGGCCTGAAGTCGGAGCTCAGCATGCTGATGGGCGCCAGCATGATGGCTGCGTTGGTCACTGGGCCTGTGGGACACGGCTGTCAGCCCACCCCAAGGACCCACTGTGCCCCGCGCACGGGAAGGACCCCGGGTGGCTGGACGCACCTTTAAGGGTCACCGTCCGGATGCACTGCTTGCTCTGCACGTCCCACAGGCGCACAGTCTCGTCATGGGAGCCGGAGAGCAGCACGCTGCCGTCCGTGGACACCGACAGGCAGGTCACCTGGTTCCTGGGACAGGTGGACACTGGCGTCAGGTCCTGGTCGGGTGAGAGGGGGATGGCGCGGCCCCTTCCCTGGTGCCTACCTGTGGCCTCTGAAGACCTTGCCAGGGTCCTGCTCGGGCTGGAAGCTCCGCTCCCTCTGTACAGGCTGTGGAGGCTGAGACAGGCATGAGTGCCAGAGGTGGCGGTGATGCAGACGCAGCCCCAGCCCGGAGACGGGGAGCCATCACCCCGTCACGGCCACCCCAGCCACTCACCCGGGTGCAGAGGTCCACCTGGAAGACGGAGCCGTCGCTGCCCCCACAGAACATGTGGTGCTCGGCCAGGTCCATGGTCACGGCCATGATGCCCACATCAAACAGGACAGAGAGCAGCAGCTCGCCCGAGGAGATCTCCCACAGCTGGGGGTGGCAGAGGTAAGGGGTCAGAGGTCGGCAGCCCACCCTGCAGATGCCAGCCCTGGGTCCCCGCCCTGGGAGCTGGATGGCCAGGGGGGGAACCCAGGGCAGGTCGAGTCCCCATGGGCCTGGCCACACTGGCCATGGCTGGCTGAGTGGGAATTTCCAGGAGACAGAGGCCCGGGCTGCCTCCCGTCTGAGCATCCTTGGGCTGGGAGCCTGGGGATTACAGGCGTCTGAGCCCTGCCGACCTCAGCTGGTCAGGGTGGGGGTGGGACTGTACCTTCACTGTCTGGTCCAGTGAGGCCGTGGCCACCCGGGCCAGAGGACCCCCGAAGCCGCAGTGCACGTCAGTGACAGGGAGCGTGTGATGGGACCACACGTGCCGGGGGGCCGGGATCCTGGAGGGGTCCACCTGCAGCACGCTGCGGAGGGTGGGGGTGTGGTCACCACCCTCCTGCTCCCTGGGCCTGCCCCCCCGGGGGGAACCTGGGATGGGCACCACCTCCAGAGGCTCCAGGCCAGCACCAGGCAGTCCTTGCTCCCTGAGACGAAGTGGCTGCTATCGCCTGTGAATTTCAGGCAGGAGACGTCCTGGTAGTGGCGGCTCAGGATGACCAGGAGGTTCCCAGTGGAGACCTGGGAGAGGTGGGGGTGCCAGGTCAGTGCGGGAAGCAAGGAGCGGTTCCCGGGATCCCCAGCTGCCATGATGCCAGGGTATGGCGTTGTGGGAACCTCCTTGTGCCAGGTTGGGGACAACAGTGTCAGGTGAGGGTGGGCAGTTTCTGTGGGCCTGGACTCAGCTATGCTGCTGGCAAGGTGTTCCCACCTTGACCCCAAGTGTGTGATGGGCCCAGGAAGGAGGATAGGTTTTCTGCCACCCTGACTGCCCACCCTGGACTAGCAGTGACCTCAGGGACAGCAGCACTGTCCATGTGGCCTCTTCAGGATTTTGTCACAGTGGGAAGCGACGCTGGAGTAGGCTGTGACAGCTGCAGGCAGGCTGGTGATGAGCTGCCTAGGCAGGCACACAGCCTAGAGGAACAGGAGGCTGCTGGTGGCCGAGATGAACCTCTCGCACCATACCTGAGAAGGGCCAGGGCTGGGGGAGACGCTGCTGCAGGGTGAATCGTGTCCCCACCAAAGCACATTCAAAGCCCTGAGCCCCAGGCCTGGGAATGTGACCTTACTAAAAATAGGTGGGGCTGGGGTGTAGCTCTGGGGAGCACTCGCCTAGCACTTGGGGCCCTGGGTCAGGGCACGTCCTGAATCCAGCGACTGTGTCCTCTCTAGGACACGGAGATGTGGACACAGAAGGGAATAAAGCTGTGGATGATGAAGGACTGGTCAAAAGCCAGGGGACACCCTGAGCCCTGAGAGCTGGCAGAGGCCGGAAGCACGGGGTGATCACATCACCGCCAATGTCAAGTTTGGAAGCTGGGACAGACGGGGCCACATCACACCTCTCAAGAGGCCTTTGTCCCCAGAGCCTGAAGGACAGATCTGAGAAGCTCTGAGTGCCACAGGCCGGCCACTGGACCCACCGTCTGTCCAAGGTCAGGCCCCTCCTGCCAGACCCCTGCCCTGGCTCTTTACTGGAGCAGAGAAAGGGACCGAGCCGCAGGCGCCCCCTTCTGGTCACAGCGCAGAAGTCCTTGGAGAGTTGCTCCTCTGAGGAGCAGGGCCAGGCAACACATACCTGCTGCCACTGGACAGGAGGTCCCCGAGTGCCAGGCCACCGAATTTCTGCCCCCACACAGCCCAGCCCATGGCAGGCTGTCGGTGAGCCTGTGAGGATTCCCACTCTAATGTGAGCCCCATCACCTCCTTTTCCCTCCTGCGCTTGAATGGTTTCACACTGGCTTCAGGATGAGGTCATGGCCCCTCGCCCCCATCTTTGTGGCCTTTGCCGGCTCAAAGAGCTCTCACACCCCGGCCTTCAGCTTCCTGGACACCTTGGTGTAGTCAAAGACTGGATCGGGAAAGGCAAAAATGGGGATGCCTTTGGCCCCAGACCCCACACTGTCTGGACTGCTCCAGATGGGGGTGAGGGCAGGTCTCTCAAATATAGCAGTGTTAGTAACAGGTCCAGGGCCAAACTCTACCAAGGCCCAACAGTAAGTAAAGCTTTACTGACACTGCCGTGAAGCCCAGCACCACCTGCAAGGCTGGAGCATGTCACAGCCTGGCCACAGTCTGACAGTTGGCCCCAGGCCCCTTGCAAAAAGGGCCAAGAGCACGTGGCAGGGCTGCGTGGTGTGTACAGGTAGCACTAGCACCAGGTTTCCCAGCAGTGAGAAAGAGGGGAGATGAAAAATGTCATGCTGCCCCTTCCTTAGAGCGTTAAAGTCAAAACCGCCGGGTCTCAGGAAGGAGTGCCTTGTCCACTCTGGGTCCTGCAGAGTGTGTGTCTGTGGCTGGCTGGTGGCAGAATTAGGGCTTTGTAAAAACTGAGGCCTCTTTGGCACTTGCAAGAGTCTGGAGGGAACCAGAGGATGCAGGCAGCAGGATGCAGGATTGGTGAGACCCTGCACTCGCAGCTCCCAGCCCCTCCCAGCCTGGGATCTGGTCCTCATGGTTGCTCCCTGTGCCCCCTAGGTGAGGTGCACACCCTGGCTCCGCTCCTCTTACCTCCCACAGGTATATGTTTTCTCCAATTCCCGCCAGGACGTACAGGCCATTGGGTGCCGTGGTCACACAGGTGACAGGCCCAGGGCACATGATCTTTTGCTGGAGCTGGTCCTAGGCACACAGAACAGACTGGGAAGCAGGGGGGAGAGGAGATGCCTGCGGAGCTGAGAGAGGAGCTAGGCACAGCTGGCCTGAGCAACTGCACCATACAGCTAGGCAGGGTTCACACCTGCATGAGCTTTCTTGTTTTATTTTGTTTCCAGTAGTAGGGAATCGAACAATTCGAGCCTTCAGGCCCTCACCCGCTTTACATTTTTTAAGACATGATCTTGCTAAGTGGCTAAATTGCCCAGGCTGGGCTGGAACTTATCCCTACCAGATGGTTGCAATTATAGGAGTGTGCCACCACAGCCGGCTCACACCTGCATGAGGTTTTGCAGGCCAGTGCTTCCTCTGGACAAAGGGGTAGGCAAGGAGGGCCAGGGAGGGGACTGGGCAGAGCTCAATGGCCAGTAGAACTGCACCTTAATACCCCTTCCCCTAATGTGCTCCTAGGGCTCGTTACCTCCTCTCTAACACCGGAAAACATCACAAGTTTTGTGTGAACTTCACCAGGCAGTGGTTACACACAGCGGTTGCCTGGAGAGAGAGGAGCAGGCAGACCAGGCACTAAGAAGTTCTAGGCAATACGTAACGGGGCTGCCAATAAAAACAAAGATATCAGGGGGAACTATGGCGATCAGTGAATGCATGAGGTCCCGGGACTACCCATTCAAGGGGCTCCCTCAGACCTCAGATCTTCTTCATCCTCCAAAACCACAAACCCCAAAGGACCTAATTTCTCCCCTTAAATTAAATTTTGCGCTCAGGAATCTGTGCATGCGCACTTGCTCCAGGGTGCACCCGGCGCTAAGCTGCACCAGGTGCCGGAGACGCACTCCCCCAGCCCCACGTGTGCCCAGGATGCCCTAAAGTGCCCACCACCCTGCGCACGCGCAGATTCCCTACAACGACTCGTCCCTCCAGGTCGTCCCGGTCGGGATCGGATCCCAATTTCCCTTCCCCCCGCTTTCTTTCGCGGGCTCCCTCACCGAACCCCCAGGCCCGCGCGCCGCACCTTCCGCTGCAGCTCCCAGACACTGATGTAGTTCTTGCCCAGCTGCGCCACCAGCAAGTACTCGCCATTGAGCAGCGCGAGGCCGCGGGGCCCAGCTTGGCCGCCGCGGTAGGTGAGCAAGTTGGCACCCGAATGCAGTTCCCACACGACGCAGGTCCACAGCTGTGCCGTCGAGTCCGTACACACGGCCACCTCCATGGGCGCCGCCATCTTACCGCCCCGGCCACCGCCCCGGAAGTGCATCGTCGCCAGCGAACCCCGGTGAAGGCATAACGCGCACTAGAGCGGCGCCTGTGCTGCCTCAGGGGCGGGGTTGGCGGACCCGCGCGTGCGCAGAGGCTTCGGGAGAGGGCTCTGCCCCAGGGAATGGGTTTCTCTGTCCAGCAGAGAATGGAGGGTCGCGTGTTAGGGGTAGAGGTCTTGGACGGTGCCCTGTTTCGCGGACTAGGGTCTCCTGCCATCTGTTAGTATCTCCAGGGCCCTGAGGTCTGACTTGGCCATTCCCTCCGTCGCGCTTTTGGCCAAGTGACCAAACCTCTCTGGTGGATTGTTTGTTTCTTTTTAAAATATGTACAATTAAAGTACTGAGCTCACAGGCTCAAAGGAGACCTGGCAAAAGAGCAGACTCCACACCAGAAATTATTTAGGGGTAGGAGGTGCGGCTCAGTGGTAAGCGCTTGCGCCGCCCCGTGACAGAAAAGGAAACAAAACCCCCAGTGTATCTACTTGACTCACAGTGCCTGGTGATTACCTATTGATGGCTGCCTGCCTGTCCTTTGACCTCGCTTTTTGGAGCCACAAAATTCAGATGTCTATTTGGGCCACTGGGTCTCGGCCCAGCAAGTCCCAGCTGCCAGTAACAGGAACCATTTCTAAAAACAAATTTTTCTGGTTTTTCCTTGGTGCTGGGGATGAAACCTAGGGACGTGCACATGCTAGATAAGTACTGCTACTGAGCCACACCTCCAGCACCAAAACAATGTTTTTTCAAAAAATGTAAATGTACACCCGACACAGTGGCGCCCACCTGTCATCCCAGCTACTCAGGCTGAGGCAGGAGGGTCGTAAGTTGGAGCCCAGCCTGAACAATTTAGGGAGACCTTGTCTCAAAATTGGAAAAAAAAAAAGAGGCCCGGGCGTGGTGGCACAGGCCTGTAATCTCAGCATTTGGGAGGGTGAGGTAGGAGGATCATCACGATTTTGAGGCCAGCCTGAACTACATAGTGAGACCTTGACTCAAAACAAACATACGGGCCGGGCCGGGGCCGGGAATTTAGCTCAGTGGTTCTGCCGTCTACCTTGCAAGTGCAAGGTCCCGAGTTCGATCCCCGATAAAACAAACAAAAGACCCAAAAAGCCAAACACAATTTTAAAAGGGTGGGGAGATGCAGCTCAGTAGTAGAGCCCTTGACTGCCTGGGTTCCAGGACCGGAAACAAAATCAAATTAATCCCCAAAAGGCAGAGTTCGTGGTCTGGCTTTGGAAAGGAATTCATCTGAAAGTGGGACCTGTCTCCACGGTGTTGGGCTGGGTGCCCCCGTCCCAAGCCCGCCGGGAGCTCAGTGGGGCCTGCAACCGAACGGAGATGCAGGCGGGGCTGATTGGGATGCTGGGAACCCCGGCCTGGGAGGAGATGTGGAGAGAGGGCAAGTGTCCGGGCGCGGGAACCGCACCAGCAAGCAGCAAGCGGTGGCCGCTAGGTGGCAGGCGCGAGCCGCGGACGGAGCGAGGGGCGGGAGCACAAGGAGCCCAGGGGAGGAGGGGAGGAGCCTCTGGGAGCGGGGCGGAGCCCCGAGCAAAGGCCCTGAGGCAGTTCCATAGCAGGGAGCTGACTGGGCAGAGCCTGCCCTAGGAGGGAGAGAGTCCACCCACCCCAGGACCTGCTCAGGACCCCAGTACCCTCGATTTTTAATTTTTGCTGGTGCTGACGATGGAACCCAAGACCTCGGCAAGCGCTCAACCCTGAGCTGCATGCCCAGACCGTCGTATGTTATTTATAGATTTTATTTTTTTAATTAATTAATTTTTTTGCGGTACCAGAGATGGAACTCAGGACCTTGCACTTGAGAGGCAGGCGCGGTGCCACTGAGCTAAATCCCCAGCCCCTCGAATGTTATTTATAAAGTGAATAAGAAAGAGAAATCGGGCAGGCAGGGATGTTGTTCAGTGGTTGAGCATTTGGTGGTGGCTTCAAGCCCCAGGGCCCCCACCACATAACCTTAACCCTTACATTTTTTTGAACATTGGAACTTTTTTTTTTTGGTACCGGGAATCGAACTCGGGACCTTGCACTTGCGAGGAAGGCGGTGGCGCCACTGAGCTAAATCCTCGGCCCTTTTTTTTTTTAAAGATAGTGGACTCTATGTAGCCCAGGCTGGCCTCAAACTTGGCGGCGATCCTCTTGCCTCTGGGGTGACAAGCGTGCGCCACCACTTGAGGCTGTTTGCCACCTTAGTGCCTTGGAACAGGTCATTGCGCAGCTATGGTTCTCAGCTTCCCCAGTTATATGCGGGGTGCGTGCGATGGCTCCCAGAGGCGGGCTAGTTTGTTCCGCCCGGACCTTTCTGAATTTCAGGGGTCCGGGGGTGTGAGGAGGTGACCAGCTGTGCCCTGGGACCCTGCAGCCAGAGTGGGGATAAACTGGATGCCCAGGCCCCGGCCAGCGGTGCACATGTGCCCTTTCTCCTCCCCTCCCTGGCCCGGGTGGGCCTCCTTGTGAGGTCAGAGGTCGCCCCGCCCCCTCCTGGAATGGGGACAGACCAGTTGTGCAAGAGCCTCAGACAAAAGCCACCCTTGGGGGCATCCAGGACCACCCAGTGCTGGGACTCAGTGGCACTTCGTTGGGGGGCAGGGAGCAGCTGGTCCCTGATCTGAGGCTGGGAGGGCACGGGCGTGGGGGGCACGCCAGGGAAACCAAGGCAGGGAAACCTTCCTGTTCCCCAAGTGAGCCAGGACCATGCACGGACCCCGCCATTCCTTGGGCTCCTGTGGGGCTGGTGGGTGACCCCAGTGGAGCCCCTACGGGCAGCAGCTGGGCTTTGGGAAGCCAGGAAGGAGGGCGCAGGCCCCCTCTGTGTGTCCCCAGGGCCTGTGTGGCCTCAGGGTCCCTGGGGTCCCTCTCTGAGGCACTTGAGCAGCTGAGGAATGAAGGGAAAGGACTGGACCATCCAGTTGTGTTTGTTTGTTTCTGCTGTTTTGTTTTGTTTTCCAGTCCTGGGGATTGAACCCAGGCCCTTCACACTGAGCTACATCTCCAGCCCTTTTCATTTTTGATTTTGAGACAGGGTCTCGCTAAGTTGCTAAGTTGCCCTGGCTGGGCTGTAACTTTGACCCTCCTGCCTCAGCCTCCCAGAGTGCTGGGATGACAGGCATGTGGCCTACCACATCCGGCTTTTTGTCCCCTAGGGGTCCAGAGGCTGCAGCTGGACCTCAAAGGGCCAGGAATGGAAAATGTCACCTTCCCCTCTTTTTTTCTCAGGTCACAGGTGAGTCGCAGCGACAGGGGCTGTTTTCCTCTCCTTCCTGTGCAGCTTCTGGGAGGGACCAGCCCAGGCCGGCCACAGCCGGAGCTAGTGGGAACCAGGTGACTGCAGTCTAGGCTGTCCACCAGGCCACTGTGACCTTGGTCCAGTCCAGTCCCCTGAATACGGAAGTCACAGGTCGGCCCCAGAGAAAACTCTCCCAGCCTGGTGCCCATGCTGTGGCTTTTTGGGGTTGGAGGTCGAGACCTCACCAGCATTTGCAACCTGGGAGCAGAGCTGGCCCATGTCCCATCTGGCTTCCCTGGGGCCATATCGTGTTAAAAGCCACACCTGCAGAGGCCAGTCCCTGGGCACTGTGGGAGGCAGGTGACAGGCAGCCATGGAGGGAGGCCCCTCAGGAGCCTGGTTGTGACAGCAGCTCCATCTGGGTGTCTCCCAAGGTGAGGGGGAGTCACATGCCTCTTTGCCCAGAGGACAATGACATCGGGCTATGAACAGCAGGTGGGAACTGCGTGTCTCCGTCACACACAAGGGAGTCTTTTTTTTTTAATTGGAGCAAGGTGAGAGGCCAATTTAGCATGTGCAAAGGCCCAGGGACATAGCCACACCACAGTGCTGGGGCTCCAGACAGAAACCTTGGAGGTGACAGGACACTTCTTAGGAGGCCAGGCACTGCCCACCTGGGTTGTTAGTAGGGACACCGGGGCTGGAGTGTTCTCTGTGGGGTGTCTTGGACACTGCCGGGTGCTGAGCAGCTTCCTGGCTTCCACACACCCTATGCCAGGAGCTCCCCTAGTTGTGACAGCCACACATGGCCCCAAATATGGCTCAGTGTCCCTGGGGGTGCCTGGTCTACCCTCCCCACGCTATGCTGGGTGAGGTGGAGATGCCTAGGTTAATAATCAGCACAGGAAATCAGCTGTGGTGGCATAACCCTGTAATCCCAGCACCTGGGAGGCTGGGGCAGGAGGATTGCTAAGAGTTCCAGGCCAGTCTGGGCCACACAGTGAGCTCAAGGCCAGCCTGGACTACACAGTGAGATCCTGTCTCAAAACAAACATGAACACACACACACACACACACACACAAACACAGAGAGAGAGAGAGAGAGAGAGAGAGAGAGAGGGAGGGAGAAACCCAGCGGAGACATTTTCTGTTAAAGTCAGAAGTGTTTTGTTTTAATCTCATGAGCTTTTCTGGGTTACAGTTGTCTTAAATATTTCTGAAGTTTAAATACAATTTGCATAATAATGTTATTATAAAATGTAAACTTTCAGTGTTCTTTTAAATTTCAAAATCACACCTTTTTTCCTCTTTTTTTTGGTATTTTTATCATTTTATTATTTTTTTTCTTTTTATTACCTGAATGATCTGCAAAAACTGAACATTGTTGTAAATCACCCTGCAGGTGACCAGGGTGTGATGGCGGGGCCCAGCTAAGAGGTAGACAGCAGTTTTACCTTTTTTTTCTGTTTTTTGGAGGTTTTTGAAAGTTTTTTTTTTTTTTTCCTTTTACCTGAGTCTGGCGTGATCATCACACCATGTAAGAAGCCCCAGAGAAACTGAAATCAATTTCACATATCAAGAATAAAAAGCTTGAGTTTGTGTTTGCGAAGGGGGAGTTAAAAAAAAAAAAAAGCCAAAAGTTAATGGAAAAATAAAAACAAGAACAAAATGGATAAAAATGTTAAAAAGAAAAAATGCAACTGTACAAATGCACAACTTTTAAAAACACTAACCCAGCTGTCCCAGGGTCCCGCCCCACCCGCCTGCCTGTCCTTACAGCCAGAGCCCTGCAGCCAGCCTAAGGGTCCCAAAGATTCCAGAAGCAGCCTGTCCAAGGGTCCCCACAAAGCCCCTCCTTACCCTGAGTTTGGGGGTCCCCGCCTGCCACACGCCAAGCCCCACGTGCACAGCGCTCTTGGCCAGGCCCCAGTGGCTGCGATGGCCACCCCCCTTCCTTGCGCCTCTTTGCATAAGGGGCTTCTGTGCTCCCCCAGATGTCCCTCCCACCCCCACCAGCAGGCGATGTCTGGGACACATATGAGGCAGCTGAGGCAGAGACAGGACACCCAGGGGCCACAGGTTCTGCCTGGCAGGACAGGGGTCCCAGGGATCCCCACATCCCACAATCTTGGGGCCACCCCAGGACACCCCGAGTTAGGATCCGGTCTGCTCACTGAGGCTGGGCGCTCACACATGCCACACATACACCACCCGGGGGCACCCCGAGACCTGAGCAGGAGGGACAGGGAAGTGACCAGGGCAAGGATTTTTGGCATCAAAAGTCAGACCTGAGGTAGAAAGAAATGTGCAGTGGACATTTCCCCGAGGTGGCCCCGAGGGGCCTCGGCCAGGAGGGGACAAGAGTGGCTGGCCAGATAGTTCTTGGAGAGGGGGCAAGATTGAGTCTTGGGATAGGAAGACCCCCCCACCCAGGAATGATTGTGCTAAGACACCAGCCCCCCAAAAATGGGGCAGGCAGAACCTTCCAGAAGGAAAAGCCAAGAGAGCCCCCCCCACCACCACCCCTCCTGGATGGGCAGAAAGGGGCACAGCAGTGACTCTGAGACAAAGAAAGACTAGGTCCCCTTCCCAGAGAAGGAAGGAGAGCCCGGCCAGGGGCCTGGGGGAGCCCCAGCACTCCCCCCACTCCCAGCCTCGTTAGCACCGACTCTGGGGCCCAATTAGAGCCCAGGCTCACCTAGGCGCAGCTGCCACAGTCCCCACCTGAGGCCGGACGCAGCCCCAGGGACAGGGGCAGAGAGGCCCAGAAAGCCCTGAAGACCCTGCCCGGGCTACAGAGGCTGGGTTTCTGCTCCAGCCAGGCTTCGTCTCATGGATACCCCCCAATTTTCTGACCCGGGTGGGGGGATCCGTGGTCCTTTCTGGGCCTCTGTTTAGTGACTGTCACTGCAGAACCAAGACATGTCATAGCCCCTGTGCGGAAGGCATGGAGAGAAGGGCAAGAGGAGGGGAGAGAGGAGAGGGGTTCGGGTTGCTCTGGCCCCTAAATCCTCACCCTGAGTTAGGCCTGGCTGCCCCCAGTTCCCCCTTTATTGATCGTCCCCCAAATCATCCCTGAGACAGGAGCCTGGGGCCAGGACTCATTCTACCCCCTGGTTAAGGATTCCCTGATCCGAGTGCCCAGCCTGGAAAAGAGGAATCTGTTGCTGAGTTCCAGCGTCCTGGGCTCGCGGGCCACCCATCGGGCCACCAGAAACACCCAAAGGAGCCCAAACCAGTCACAGAAAAATTTTAAAAAGGTTATTACCGGGGTTGGGTTTTTTGTTTCACTTTGCTTTTTCTAGTCCCTGAATGAGCACAAATATATAGATATATAGATATATAGATATCCTTTTCCTAAAGCTCCACCCCCCAAGAATAAAATAGAGTATTTACAGAACAAAACCCCCAAAACCTCTTAAAAGCCCTATAGGAGTTTGAGTGTCACTATTTCTTAGGAAAAAAAAAAAAAAGGAAAAACACATTTCCCAAAGCAACAAGGAAAAAAAAAAAAGGAAATAAAATCAGTGATCTTGGCTCAGGGGTTTCATTCAACACAAGGAGCTGGGTGTGATGAATGTGTCACAGATAAAAATAAAAAGTGAAAATAAAAACGGACAAAAATGCTAACACACAGTGCAGGGATGTATGAGGTAAACAGGGTTGGCTTTGACATCGCAGCTGTTCCATGCCAGATGCCACAGCCGCTTCCCTGGGAGCAGAAAAAGGCTCCAGCGGCTCCAGCAGCTCCAGCGGCTTGGTTTTCCTTTAGGTTCTTTTCACAGTCCTCATAATTCATCTCTGAATGTCCAAAACCTGAGAAATTCAAGTGTTCCTTGGTTCCCCTGTTTTATTAAATTTGCTTTATATATATATATATATATATATGTATATATATGTATTTTTTTCTCTTTCCTTTTTGGCGTCAATGTGGTTTCGTGGTGAAGCTCTGCTCTTCCCACCTGTTGCTTCTGCCTTCCTGGACCCCAGCCGGGGGACTGTCGGGCTCCTGGGGTGGGGCGGCAGTGGGCAGGAGGGGAGCCACGAGGTTAAGGCAATGAGTTATTTGAGGTAGAAGACGTGGGGTGCGGTGCTGCACCTGCCTGGCTGCCCGAGCTGGTCCCTGCGGGTCCTCCCCGGCCACCTGAGTTGCTGCTGCTGCTGCCACCACTGCCACCACCACTGCCTTTGCTGGGTGCTGAGGGTGGCGTGGGGGCTGGCGGCTGAGCAAACAGGACCCCTGGTGCAGGACAGAAGAGAGACTTGTCATGGAAACTGGCCAGGCCACCACTGTCCACTTAACTTCTCGGCTGTGTCCAGCAATGTGTTGACCCTGAAGGTGGATGCCAGTGACCTCCCAGCCACTATCCACTCTGCAACCAGGCTGCCCTCTGCCCACAGCGCCACACAGTGCTTGCTATGTGCCACTGCATTTATTTTCATTCTGAGGATTGGACTCAGCTACCCCCAGCCCATTTTTTATTTTTGTTGTTTATTTTGAGATAGGGTCTCATTAAGTTGCTAAATTGCTCAGGCTTGACTCAAACTTGAAAGCCTCCTGCCTCAGCCTTCAAGAGTGCTGTGATTGGGGCCGGGGATTTAGCTCAGTGGTTCCGGTGCCTGCCTTGCAAGTGCAAGGTCCCAAGTTCGATCCCCAGTACCAAAAAAAAAGGAGTGCTGTGATGACAGACAGGCATCACTACGGCCAGCTACCACTTTTGTTTTGTTTTGTTTCGAGACAGGGTCTAGCTATGTAGTCCAGGTTAGCCTCGAACTCTCAGGGACCCTCCTGCCTCAGTCTCCCATTATGTGAAGACCTCACCTCTCAGCCCCTAGCTGCCCTCGCCCAGCTCTTGCCTCTGGTCCCTGGCCAGGGACAGCCCAGGGGCCCTGCGTTCAGCAGGGACAGCAGTGGCCCGGGTGGCTGAGGCCTCGGGCACCTACCTGTGTACATGATGCCGTTGAGCTCGACCGACATACTAATACTGTTGCTGCCGTTGGCGCCTGCGAGGCTGACAGCCGAGTCCTGCCGGCTCTCAGAGGCTGCAGGGAAAAGAAAACCGCAGAAATGTGTTGGCTTGGTGGCTGTCTGCCCGCTTGACAGTAAGCTCCAAGAAGGTGCAGGCTGCTTTGTCACTAGCACGTGCAGCAGGTGCTCAGTGGGCTGTTTGTCTCCCTCCGCTATTTTTATTTTTTTGGACACAAGGTTTCACTAAGGTGCTTGGGTAGAGACTGAAATGATCATCCTGCCTCAGCCTCCAGAGTAGCTGGGATCACAGGGGAGTGCTCGGCTATATTTATTTGCCCTTCCTTCCTTCCCTGAGGTGGGTTGGAAACCGGGTCTTGCCATATAGTTCAGGCGGCCTTGAACTCACTACATAGCCCAGGATGGCCTTAAACTCCTGGTGACCCTCCTGCCTCAGCCTCCTGAGTGCTGGGGTTATAGACATGCACCACCACACCTGACTACACATTTTCTTTTCTCCTTCCTTCCTTCTCTCTTTCTTTCTCCCCCGCCCCTTTTCGATACGGGGACTCGAACTCAGGACCTTGCACTTACCAGGCAGATGCACGCCACTGGGCTAAATCCCCAGCCCTTTTTTTGGTTTTTGGTGATAGGGTCTCATTATGCAGTTCAGGCTGGCCTTCAATTCACCGTGTTCCCCAAGCTGCCCTTGAATTTGTAGCAATCTTCCTGCCTCAGCCTCCCAACTGCTAGGATTACAGGTGTCCGCCATCATGCTGGGCATTTTTTTTTGGTACCAGGGATCGAATTCGGGTCCTTGCGCTTGCGCAGCAGGCGTAAAACCACTGAGCTAAATCCCCGACCCCTCATATTATTTATTTTAAAAGAGATTGCCAGCCGGTTACAGTGGCCTGTCATCCTGGCACTCTAGCAGGCTGAGGCAGGAGGATCACAAGTTCCAGCCCAGCCCAGACAACTTACTGACTTAGTAAGACCCTGCCTCAAAATTTAGGCTGTGGATGGAGCTCAGTGCAAAGGCCCTAGGTTCAATCCCTAGACCTCTCTCCCCCAAAAGGAGAGAGAGATAGCCAAATTGTCACCTCTTTACCCTCCTGCCCATAGGACCAAGGTCCCTATACCTTAGCCAACCCCTGAGGCTAAACTCATGGGAGGCACCCTGTTGGTGTAGATGTGCAGTCCGCCAACTAAGTGGGCTCAGCATCTTTAGGAGCTTTTTAGTCCCCGGACCCCCCGTCGCCCGCTGGCTTGTTGGCCTTTTGTTATTGTGGTCGGCTCTGAGGCCCTTGCTGCTCGGGCGTCTGGCTGGTTGGTACCTTGGCTGTTGATCCGGATGCTCATGGGCAGCTGGGCAGTCATGGCCAGTAAGTTCTGCTGCAGAGCCCGGTGCAGGAGCCGCTGCTGCTCATCAGCGACCAGCACCATCTTCTTCTCCGGGGGCTCCCCAGACTCCAGCTTCTCCCGGATGTGCTCCAGGGCCGCTGCCTGCGCTGCCACGGCTGCCTGGGCCGCTGCCGCTTGCACTGCTGCCTGGGCTGCCACCACTGGGTGGCCAGCCAGGGACACAGGCAAGCGGCTGGGGACTGTGATGGGGATGGCTGAGTCCTCCTCTAGACACACAGGAGAGAGCAGCGGTCAGAAAGGAACCCAAGCGGCCTGGCCCCGGGGAGCTTGCTTCCTCTGCACAGAGACAGATGGCTTTACAAACAGGTGCGAGTGCCATAAAACCCCTGTCATCCCAGTACTCAGGGGGCTGAGGCAGGAGGGTCACCCCAAGTTTGGGGTCGGCCTGGGCTATATAGTGAGTTCAATGCCAACCTGGACTACATAGTGAGACCCTGTTTCAAAAAACCAACCAACCAACCAACTAAATAAATAAACCCTCTGTAACAGCAGATGTGCTGCCAGCAATATCACTTATAACAACAGCATCCACTGGTGTTTAGCATTCATACTTTTTAAATTTTTTTTACAGTACTGGGGATGGAACCCAGGGCCTATGCACTGAGCTACATCCTTGGCCTTTTTTTATTTTTTATTTTTGGTACCAGGGATCGAACTCAGGTCCTTGTACTTGCAGGGCAGGTGGCGGAACCACTGAGCTAAATCCCCAGCCCCCTTTTTATTTTTTATATGGAGACAGGGTCTTGCTAAGCTGCTAGGGCATCCTGGCTCAGCTTCCCAGAGTGCTGGGGTCACAGCTGTGTACCACCCTGCCTGGCACCTTTCTGGATGCCCACCTGGGATTTCTCTTGGTGATCTGGAGGGGGGAAGGATTCCCCACACCCCAGAGCCATGCTGGAATGTGGCCCGGGGCCCCACACAGCCCTCACCTTTCTTGATCTTGGGGGCTGGGGTGATGGAGCTGCCGTTGGTGCTGGCGGCCAGGCCCAGGGACTGCACGGGCAGCTTGGGTGAGGACAGCATGCCGTGGGCACTGCCTGGCGAATAGGCGAAGAGGGAGCCGCCGAAGCTCTGGCGCCGGCCTTCCCTCCTGTTGCTATCGATGGCGGCCTGGAGCTCGTTGGGGCTGCTGAGGCCACGCCGCTCACACTCGTAGGGATACAAGTACTTCATATACCTGTGGGTGTGGACAGTGTGGCACTGGGCTGCCCCTGACCGGGCACAGGGGCAGCACCATCCCGTTTCCCTGTGACCAGTTTTATTCTGAGACAGGGTCTTGCTAAATTACTAAGTTGCCCGGGGTGGCAGTGAACCAGAGATCCTCCTGCCTCAGCCTCCCAGAGTGGTAGGATGACAGGCGTGCAGCACCAGGCCCAGCTCTGTGGGGTCTTTAAACTAACCACTACTGAGCTGCACCCTGAGCCTGATGTCCCCCTGGCCCAGCAGCCCGGCCCGGCCACTCACTGGGTCCTCAGCGTGAAGGCAGCGCTGGTGATGGAGGTGGGCAGGTTGAGGCCCTTAGTGATCTCCCGCCACAGCTTCTTGTTGATGACCTCCACCAGGCCGCCCTTCTCCGTCACCAGAACGTACAGCATGAACAGGTCAAGCACCTGCTTGGCCATGATGGGGATGCGGTTCACGGGTGTGCCTGCGGACGGCAGGGCGCAGGTGAGGCGGGGCATTTCGGGCTCCTACCCTCGGCAGGGGGCGCTCAGGGCGGGTCCTCTCCGGTGTCCTGGGCATTGTGGCGTCCCTGGCCTCCATCCGCCCTATATCAGGAGCTCCCCAGGGTGATGGCCACAGATGTCCCCGGACATCACCCGGTGTCCCCTGGAGAGCAGCATCACCCCAAGGTGAGAACCAACCCTGCTCGACAGCACAAGGAGGCAGTACTGCCTCAGTTTCTCCACAAGCCACCTGGGCTCATGAACAGCACAGATCTCATTGCTGAAAGGGGTTTCTGAGGAGGCCCCCGAGGGGAGTGCTGGGGACAGGCAGGTGTCACAGGGTTATTCTACGACAGCTGCCAGGAGCTCAGCCTGCCTCCCTGGCTGTCTGTCCTGCGCTCCCGCCGGGTCTCTGTGCTCTGGCAGCTTGGCCAGGCCGACCACCTCCCCCCGGCCCGCTCAGACCTCCCCTCCCCTACTGACTCCCCCAGACCCCGCCCACAGCCCGGAACACCCCAGCTCGGCTCACCTGACCTGAGCCTCCTCCCACCCAACTCTGGGCTCAGGAGACCCCTTGCTCACTGACCGCCCCCGGCACGCGGCTGGGATTTCAGCAGCCACTCAGTGAACAGCAGCGAGGGCACAGGGCCCCACCATGAAGGATGAGGGAACTGAGACTCGGGGCAGGACCCCGAGAGTAAAGGGCCAACTCGCTACCCTCCCTCCATCTGGGAAGCACCTCTTGTCCACTCGGCCAGGTTGCAGAGTCCTGGGAATCCTGAGGACATGGGGAGGCCAGGCTCAGACCTGCTGCCCACACCTGCTCCATCTTGGCCAGCAGGGCCCACACCAGCCAGGCCAGGGTGGAAGGATGGTCACAGAGGAGGTGGAGGCTGGCACAGGGAAGGCAGGGAGCCCTCCAGAAAAACAGCAGGGCTGCTGGGGCAGGGCCTCCCCTCTTTTCCAGTCCCCAGGGAATTGTGAGAGAAATCTGGGTTTTACTTTCTGATGTAGGGAAAACAAATAAAACAAAACAAAAATCCTCTCCCCGTCTAGAATAAAGGAAAAGGGGCTAGGAGGGGGTGTTGTCCAGGGTAGAGAGTGATTCTCAGTCCCAGAGGATCCCAACTATAGGAGGGGAGGGTCCAGGGAGGGAGTCAGGAGGGAAAAGGAGCTTTGAGGTGGAGTTTTGAGGGATGTATAGGAGTTTGTTGTTCCCTGCTCTCCAGGTACTCTCAGCTTGGGGAGGGAAGACACTCATGTTCCTGAGTGATCAGAAGCTAAATAGAAGCATCTGGGAGCCCCACCTCACCCACTCCCACCAACTCCCTCTACTTCTGTGCCTTGAGGAAACCAGCCATCATGCCGAGCACTGGGGACCCAGCAAGGTGGTCAGCTTGGGGCCTGGGAGCTGGGGCCCCCCCAGCAGATGGCCAGGGGGCTCAGGCAAGTGTGGACAGGATGATAAAGGGAGTGGGGCGATCTCTCCTGCCACACAAGGTCCAGCAGGGCCGGCTGGGGCTGCGCTCTGAGGATAACGCAGGAGGGGCCCCCTCCCAGGGACCCAGCTGCTTCCCCGCGTGGCACGGGAGGGGTTAACACGGGGCCACTGGGCAGCGGGGTCTGGGAGCCGAGGCCCCTTCTCTCCCTCCTCCCTCCCTTCCGGTGGGGGTGGTGTGGCTGGCCTCTGTGTTTACAGAAGCCAGGGCGGGCCGGCCTGGACAAAACTGGCTGTGCAGGGGGCCTGAGCTGGGACTCAAGGGACCCAGGCTAGACTCCGTCCCGCTCTGCCCAACCTTCCTGCCCCAGGGCCCCAAGGCCACAGCCCTCCCCAGGCCTCAGTGTCCCCGCCTGGGCCTGGGCCCAGATCTGCCCACCACTGGACGTCGCCCCTCTTTAGGCTCGGTCCCCCTGACCCCCTGGCTGGGCTGTTGTCAGTCTTGCTCAGCCAAGGACGGGGCACTGTGGGTGCTCAGTATGTGAGGATGAGCAGGGCACACTCGTCGTGTTTGGGGTCCCTGCTGGGGCCGAAGACTGGGGCCTCGGGTTAGATCCGCAATCATGGGCCCATCCACCACTGGGCCTGGGGGCCTCTAGGGTCTGATGCTGCTCCCCCAAAACAAGCCGGTCCTGCCCCCGACCTATGGGCCCTACCGAGGGGTCCTAGGAGCAGAGACAGCCCAAGATCATACCTGGGGTTCATAGGGGGCTGGACATTCAGTTTGGGGCCCCACAGTAGGACCCTCCTCCTCCCTCAGCTTCAGCTGTCCCCACAGTGCTGCCTGCAGACCCAGCACTCACCTCGCTTCTGCATGAAGCTGAACAAGTCATCCAGGAACTCCTTCCTCTTAGGGTCCCCATCGAGTTCGTAGAGCTGAGGGCAGAGGGCAAGGTCAGCGGACGCCAGAGTGGGCAGCACAGGCCGAGGGCCTCCACCAGGGACGGGACCCAGGCCCATTCCTCCCGAGCCGAAGGGCATGTGAACACCTCACTGCCGGGCAGAAGACGCAGCTGGCGCGCAGCCTCGGGGAAGTCCCCGGGTTGCAGGGTTGGAGCTCAGACTGGCGGCTTGAAACCGGGATCCAATCCCCACCATCCAGGAGCCAGGAGCCAAGCCTGAGACCCAGGTCTGTGCCGGGCTCGTCTGTCCCGCCTGTCCCGGCATCCCTGGGCTTGTGGCTGTCATGCACCACACCCCACACCCCCCTGCCCCAGCTCTGCCTCCATCACCCTCTCTTCTCCTCGAAGGACACCAGCCTGCTAGGGCCCCCTCATCTCCATCTCCAACCAATTATATCTGGAAAGACCCGGTTCCCAAATGAGGTCCTCTCTTGGAACTAGAGAACACAGTTCTTTTCATTCATCCATTCAAGGTGCTGGGGATGGAATCCAGGCCTTTGTACTGAGCTCCACCCCCAGCTTTTTAGTTTTTATTTTGAGACAGCGTCTCACTAGGTTGCTAAGTTGCCCAGGCTGAGCTCAAACTTGGGATCCCCCTGCCTCAGCCTCCCAGAGTGCTGGGATGACAGGTGTGCCACCATGCCTGGTTCCAGGGGGTGGATTTCTTGGAGGGAACATGATTCATGCCACAGTGGCAGCACCCAAGTAACCTCACGGGATCATCCTGATGGATGAATCTTCCCTGTGCCTTTGCTGACAGGCACATACAAGCGCATCTACTCCCAAGAGCTGACTCTGGTTTTGTTTTGGTTTTTTTGTCTTTTTTTTTTTTTTGGTACCGGGGATCGAACTTGGGTCCTTGTGCTTGGGTAGCAGGCGGCGAAACCACTGAGCTAAATCCCCGGCCCAAGAGCTGGCTCTGTTTTGCAGATGAACAAACTAAGGCACGGCAGCAGGGGAAGACTGGAACTGGGGAGGACTGGAGACCCGGGGCATAGCCAGGTCCCCTGGCCTCATCCCTGTGTGTAGCATGAGCCAGTGAGCAGGGTGATCCCAGCATCTGGGAGGCTGAGGCAGGAGGATGGCAAGCTTCAGCCAGCTTGGACAGCTTACCAATACTCTGTCTCAAAATTAAAAAATTACAAAGAAAAGGACTAGGAATGTAGCTCAGTGGGAAGGCCCTGGGTTCCAGCCTTAATACAAATAAATAAATAGCCAGTGACCATCTGCGTCCCACGCAGGGCAGGACTGGTTAGGGAGGAAGTGACAGGATGTCACCATAGGAGGGGAAATGCTGTCTGGGGCACCCGCTGGGGAACTGGGGGGCAGGGGGAGCCCTGGCCCCAACAGCCAGCAGCTCACAGTCCCAGAGGGCGGGCAGGCAAGGCAGGCAGGGCAGGGGGCAGCGGGCAGAGATAATTAGAAAGTAGAGCTCAGGTGGGGGCCAATTTGCCGGGGAGAGGCAAGGGCAAATACCAGGCTTCAAATTAAGCTCCAGGGAATGTGGCTGACTGGGCTGTGGGGGGCCTTGAAACCACCAATTAGGCCTAGGCTGGGATAATCTGTCATTAGGTGCTCAGGAGCGTGGCCGAGAAGCTCCGGGCTGGGAAGCTGGGACCTTCCCCCGCCATCCCTTCTGCCAACCTGCCTTTCTCTGGGTCTCAGTTTCCCCATCTGCGTAATGGAGACGGGGGAGGGGGTGCTTCTGGAACAGGGTCGGGAAGACAAGGCATCCGGACCTCATCCCTGGGTGGTCAAGGCCCAGCAGAAGGCCAGCTGTCCGCCTTTGTCTGCGCCCCACCCCGGCCAGCGCCAGACTGGCCGGCCTGCATTCCTGCGCTGATTTATGGCGGCCTGGGAGGCCCCTTTCCCCTCAGCTGCCCGAGGGCTGCGGGGCCTGCAGGTAGACCGGGCCAGACCAGCCAGGCCTTGTCCTTCCAGCCCTGCCCAGCTCTACCTGCGCCTGCGTCGGCCCTGGGTGCCCCTCACCCACTCACTCCTCCTCCTCGCCCTTCGGAAAACCTTCCCAAAGCCAAGCCCAGGGACTCAGTGTGTGTGCGCATGTGTGTGTGGGGTCAGTCCTTGAGCCAGAGCCTAGAATCCAGCCAAGCACAAAGCGACAGCTTAATAAATGCTCCTCGAGCCAGGTGCAGTGGTGTCCGCCTGTTACCCTAGCTACTCAGGAGGCTGAGGCAGGAGGATCTCAAATTCAACCCCAGCTTAACAACGTAGTGAGACCTTGCCTCAAAATTAAAAATAAAAAGAGTCAGGGATATGGCTCAGCGCAAAGGCCCTTGGTTCCATCCCAGCACTGGCCGCCCATACACACTCACAAAGGCTTTATCCAGGACACATAGAAACATTAGGCTCATTAGTGTTGTAGATGAGGAAACTGAGGCCTGTACAAAGAGAGAAGAGCTTGCTCAGGACAGGAGGGGAGTGAGGCCATTAACCCCCAGGCCAAATGGTGGGCTAATAGGCCAGTTGCTGGGCCTGGTAGGACACCCATGAAGCCAGGGCATTGATTCAAGGTCATAAAGGGAGCATCCATAGAGCCCTTCAGCTGCTGGTGGACACGGCAGCCTTAATAACCGTCGCTGTGGGCAGCTAACAACAAAAGCTGCAGTAAAGGCCGCCCCAGCTTTATGGGGCTCTGGCCCCTAGTTCCGCTCCCCTATGGGGCGTGTCCCGCCCTGACCAGCTGGTTGGAGCCCCAGGGGACAGTGTCCAGGCCCAACCCCAGCCCACCCCCACTTGTGGGTGAGCGGGTACAGCTGCTGATCATGGAAAGGCTCTGAGGATACACTGCTGGGCCACAAGACAACCTGTGTCATATCCAGGCCTGGAGCCCCGCGGAGGGTCTGAGATGGACCTGGCACTGTTCTAAGGGGCCAGAAAGCACCGAGTTGGTAACCCAGGCATCCCAGAGCCCTGAACGGGTTAGGAGAAGCTGGGAAAGCCCCTTCGGAGGCCGAGGGCTGAGACACCTGCCCCTCGCACTGGGCAGTCTGATCCCATCAGGGCGGCCGGGGGCCTGCACCGAGGGTCCCCCTGCAGTGCCCCAGGTCCTCTGAGACCCACTGTCCCCTCCCTGGGCTGCCGTCCTCAGCTCTTTTCACGCTGGCCTCCAACGGTGCCCCCCATAAATGCCGCACCTCCAGGGAGTGGCCCAGGGCATCGCACTGGCACCCCCACCCCGGTTTCGATTTGACAGACACCCCTACCTTCTGGGTTGGCCTTGTTTCTCCCCCCCCCCCGGCCTTCATCATCAAGGTCTATGGGTCTTCAGGTCTGGTTTCTGGGCTGTCTGCTTTGGACCGTGAGGGATTTTTATCTGATTTTTTTTCCCGGGTCTAAAACCGCACACACAACCGCTTAATAAATGCTTGTTTTGTTGTTGTTGTTGTTGTTTGGTTTTTTTGGTACTGGGGATTGAACTCGGGTCCTTGGGCCTATGCAGCAGGCGGTGAAACCACTGAGCTAAATCCCCGGCCCAGGAAACGCTTGTTAAATGAACTTCATTTCTCAGCCAAGGCATGCGTCCCCCAAATTGGTGCCCAACTGGATTCAGCTTGGGGCAGGCAGGGCCTGGTTTCCCCTCAGCCCTTTCCATCTGAGATACGGGTGCAAAATCAGAGCAAGGATGGGGGTGAGGGCTAGGTGGGGCATCCAGCAGGCACTGGCTAAGGGCACATCTTGCTTCCCCACTGTCCGCCCAGGAAGTGGGGGTGTCGCACCCCCTGGCTCCTGGATCAGGCCTCTCCTGGAGGCCCTTATTCCTACCAAGGAAAGGACCCTAAAACACACGCGCTTGCCCACCCCCAGGCCTTTGTACTGCCTGTGGCCTCAGCCTGGAATGTGGGTCCCAGATCTCCACAGGCTCCTTCTTCCCCATGGTCCCCTTAGGCCCTCCACACCCTCTGACCCTTCCTTTTGCTCTAGGGCCTGCCAGGTGAATGAATGAAAGAATAAATCTCCTTGGTCCCAGTCAGCCCTTGGCTCTGCATGCTGGGAGAGCTGAGGGGCAGGGATGTGGGGGGCTTGGGGATGAACAGTCGTGGCCCTTCTAGATCCTACCAGGCATCCCAGACTCAAGCGTGGCCTGGGAGGAGAAGGGTGGCCCTAGCCCTGTGGGCAAACTGCAAGTTCCCCTTGGGGGTGGAGGTGCTGCTGCCCAGGCCGAGGCAACTTCAAGCCCCCCAAGCAGGCAGGGGGTGTTGGCCAACAGCCCTGCAGGGAGGGGACCCCTGGGGACGGAGGGTGCTTAGTCCTGGCTCGGGACCCTGGCCTAGCCCGGGGGAAAGGCCAGGAAAGGGCCCTGAGGCGTGCAGAAAACCCAACAGCGAGAGCCTGTCTCAAAATAAAGCATTTCAGCCGGGCATGGTGGTGCACGTCCACGATGCTAGCTAGCACTCAGGAGGCTGAGGCAGAAAGATTGCTACGAGTTTGAGGCCAGTCTGAGCTACATAATGAGACTCTTATCTCAAAACAAAAAAACTACAGAGTGACCAGGAGACAGCTGTGTTGGGACAGGCTGCCGTCGCCTGGGTCCCAGGTGGGACCGGAGATGGCCACCCCAGCTTACATCTCTGCCGTGGGCCCCACCTTAGCATCTGAGCCAATTCCCACTGGCGTGGGAGCCCAGGGTGGCGTCCCCAGCCAGGGGCCCCAGCTATAAAGAAACGGCCTGTCTGTCTGTGGGGCCCCGAGAACCTTTGTCCCCCGCCTGCCCAGGCCCTGTCTGCTCAGCCCCCTGCCGCGTCCAGGTGGCTCCAAAGTCCTTGGGGCCCCACCTGGGGACAAGGCCACCGGGCAGGTGGGTGGGGTGGACCCCAGGGACTGCAGACGGCACCCAGGCCACCAGGAAACCAGGGAGAATCAAGAAGCCACCCTAATGCCTGGGGCTCGGAGCGCAGAGTTTGGGGGGAGGCTTCGTGGCCAGTGGGGCTGTGGGGAGCATGGATTTCTAAAAGC